ATGAAGACGATATCACCTCGGCCTCAGAAGTCGAGGGTGAAACTTTCATGACTGCATCCAGAGGATCACTTGTAAGTTCACACAAAACTTGATCACACTCAGCTTTTTTTTTAGGACAATGAGGGGCTTACTCCAATACAGCCCAAGAACCGCCGCTTATACGATGGCGTCTCACCGTCCACGTCCATGGATTCTATCAACGGACAGCCCTCCGGTAATAGGGGCCGTACCGAGACATATTTCAGCAGTAATCACCATCTAGTGCCTATGACATCGACAACCGCATTCACTAGCGTGACTTTCAACCTCCCTACCGCCGCTACAATTCCTCGATCCTTCTTTGACGATGGTTCTATGCAACCTCTCACTTGGAGCCGACTGGTCGCCAACATGAAGAAGGCAATTGACCGTTATCGCGAGGCCATCAAGAACAACCGCCGGTCCGAGTACGTTGCACGCGCCGAGGACATCTCTGACCATTTGCGCCTGCTCCTGGCGGCTGGTTCAGGGACAACCGACAACCATTCAGGCCAGCCTTCCATCATCTCGACCAACAAGGCGCTATACCCTCATTTCCGCGATATGATGTCAAAGTTTTCCAAGCTGGTGATTTCCTCGCACATTGCTGCTGCCGATTGGCCCAACGCCGAGTCCGTCCAAAAGTGTCTGCAGGAGGCTGATGGCGTCCTCATGGGAGTTTACAGCTATGTCGAAGTTGCTAGGCAGCAGAGAGGTGAAGACATTCCTCGGCTGTTCCCTGGGTTCGTAATTGGGTCCACCTCTGGTGGGAGTTGGCAGACTAATGGCCTCGGCCCTCACGACCCTATTACCTCCAATTTCCTCGATGATGAAGAGGGTGTAGTGGAGCCCACTGCCATCCTCGACAGCAAGTTGTTGGAAAGGCTGGATGAGCTGAAGCGTATGCTGGTTTCCGGCATTCGCGAACTGGACAAGAGCTTGGTTGTCACGGATAAGGTGGTGACGCCTTTCAGGCACGAAGTAATCAGCAACAATATTTGCGCTGCCGGTGGCAAGGTCGTGGACATGTTCAAGCCATGGATTGCCACGATTGAGTCTATCGACCTTTCTTGCCTTGGCAGCAACGGGTTCCAGCAGCCGCAGCTTCTTGATTTTGCGACAAACAAACAAAGCTTGTACGACAACATTTCCGACCTGGTGCTTGGCTGCCAGGCCGTCGCTGGCCCGCTCGCTGATGAATGGTCCGAGGTGCGGGGCCATGCTTTGGAAGAGAGATTGGACTATGTTCGTCAGTGTGCTCGAGCATTGGAGACCAACTCCTCGCACATCGGCTTCTCTCTCCAACTACTCTCAGAGCAAGTCCAGATGGTCATGCAGCAACAAGCAGAAGCTCGTGCACGTGAACCTATGCAACGAGCACCGCTTAGCAGAGGTGACTCGTTACCGTATGAGCGGCACTTGAGGACTGACTCTGCCTTCTTAAGACCGGTATTGATGAGCTCAGCATCGTTTTCGGAGGGCGATCCCACTGCTCCCACGTTCCAGCGGAAGGGTGACCCGTCAAAGATGAAGAAATTCTTCGGAGAAGATCCCACGCCGATTCAGCCTGTGGATGACACACCTGAGTTCTTGCGTCTGGACTACGAAGCTGAGCTATCTTGGGATCAGAAGGTGCAGCCGCCCGTCGTCAAGGGTGGTAGTCTCCTCGCTTTGGTGGAGCAGCTTACCCGCCACGACAAGCTTGACTCGAACTTCAATAACACCTTCCTGTTGACGTACAAGTCCTTTACTTCGGCTCGCGTACTGTTCGAGCTACTCGTAAAGAGATTCGGCATCCAACCACCCGAGGGCCTCACCCAGACCCAGTATGAGCAGTGGCGTGATAGCAAGCAGAAGCTTATCCGCTTCCGAGTGGTCAACATTCTTAAGAACTGGTTCGATAACTTTTGGATGGAAGATCAGAGTGAGGAGACAAAGCAGCTAATCCTTGATGTCTACAACTTCGTCAATGAGACAGTGAAGTCGACAGAGACACCAGGTTCCAAGGGCTTGATGGCCGTCTTGGAACAGCGGCGGAGCGGCAAGGAAGTCAATGTTCGTCGCATGATCCAGACGGTCAACCAGAATACGCCTGCGCCAATCATGCCAAAGAACATGAAGAAGCTCAAGTTTCTGGATATTGATGTCACTGAATTTGCGCGTCAGCTTACTATCATCGAGTCGCGCCTGTATGGCAAGATCAAGTCTACAGAATGTCTCAACAAGACATGGCAGAAGAAGGTTGCCGAAGGGGAGCCAGAACCAGCACCTAATGTCAAGGCCCTTATTCTGCACTCGAACCAGATGACCAACTGGGTGGCTGAGATGATTTTGGCGCAAACCGATGTTAGGAAGCGTGTTGTCGTCATAAAACACTTCGTTGCCGTTGCCGACAAGTGCCGGGCTCTTAACAACTTCTCTACACTTACATCAATCATTTCAGCTTTGGGAACCGCACCCATTGCCCGCTTGAAAAGAACATGGGATCAGATTCCTCAGCGCGTTCTCGCGACGCTTGAAACCATGAGGAAGCTCATGGCTAGTACTAAGAACTTTGGTGAATACAGAGAGGCGTTGCATCTGTCCAACCCTCCATGCATTCCCTTCTTCGGTAAGAAACCATGGTGAAGCCTCATGTTCTGGTCGAATGCTAACCTGAGATTCTTAGGTGTGTATCTTACGGATCTTACCTTCATTGAAGATGGTATCCCGTCGGTTCTGAAGAAGACGAACCAGATCAACTTTGCGAAGCGGGCGAAGACCGCAGACGTTATCGGAGATATCCAGCAGTATCAAAACGTCGCATATTCGCTACAGCCAGTACCTGAACTTCAGGAGTATATCTTGTCCAATATGCAAGCTGCCGGAGACGTGCACGAGATGTACGACAAGAGTTTGCAAATCGAGCCCCGCGAGAGAGAAGATGAAAAGATCGTCAGGTATGTAGAGCCAAAATTCCACCAGGTGGCTGTGAATGGGGGTGCCTTTTTTTCAGTGAGGTGATGGAGGGAGGACGGCATGGGGGCGCAATCTTGATTGGCCTCGTACTTCTTCGGACATCACTCAACTCGGCTGGTAGTCCTAGCTTTGTCACTTCCCGCACCCCTTCGTGACCCGCTGGGTTCAGCCGGGCCAGCACATCCATCACCCTTTTTCATTATCGTCTGTGCGGATTATTAACTTCTTCTTGTTGTACTTTACAGAGTTCTGGCTGAGTCTGGATTCCTATGATCCAACAAACTTCACGTATCTTCGTCCGACACCGAGCCATTTTTACATCGATGATTTTGTCGAAAGTACCACAGCGGAAAACGCTTTACTTAGCTGCCTTCCTTCCGAGCAGTGCTACAAAGTACCTTACGTCGGCCAAGCCGCTATGCTATATATCATATTTCTTAGTACGAGGCACAAACTGTTTGTTAAGCTCAATGCTGCGGAGCAGTTATGGTCACCCTTCAAGACCTAAGATGCCTGGCGAACAAGTCCATCACAAAAACTCGTGTCGCGGAACGTCGAACTTATGATGGTTTTAATACTCGACGTAACGTACCGGATGCCATTGGATGACAGAGCAGCTTCTTCGGGGCGAGCACTGCTGCGCCAACAAGGACTAGCAGCAACACTAAAGCTTAATCGAACGCCGCAAAGCTGGTCACATCCGAAGCAGATTCAGCCTGTGGAACCGATTCAAAAGAAGAATCCAAGGAAGAGCCTACGCATCCTACTCTCTTCCCTGCTCCGTGAAGCAAGACGGACGATTGAGCCACGTGTGGGGTGGATTGGGATGAATGTAAAGGGTCAGTTGGATGAGGAACACAAAGGGGGGCTCGCCGCAGAAGTATCTGTTGGCGCACGAAGAAGCAAAAGAATGATACCACGCGATGAGGGTTGGGATGAGCATATGGCCTGAAATGGGGATATATCCAAACACTATTTGTCTCGAAATATTAAAAGAAGAGGAGAGATAGGCATAGATCTACTTCCTCTTGTTGTCACAAGATATTATGCTGAGAACATTTAAGCGGCCACGAATCATTTTATGGATGACAAGGTCTATCAATATTACTACCACTATACATATGTACAGATTAGGATCAATGGATCTATGGGTGGAACGATTGGGTTTGACACAACACTTTTTGTTTTCTTGATGTTTGTTACAGTGTTGTCTAAGCGTGGTGACAGCGATACAATCGTGGATCTTTTCATCTTTATCTCCTTTGCAAACATAAGGCCCATGGTATACCTCGCTTCAATGTTTAGACCCCCTAAACACAGAACCATATACACCGACCGATGCATAACTCGCTCAGAACTAGATCGAACAGAACAAGACAATCTACTTATATTACCTCTATCAATGAATGGGCAATGCAGTTGAAATGCCCAGGGGCACCATGTTCCCCCGTACCTCGAAAACCTTTCCCACATCCCAATGGCACGATATCGCCCGTCCATGTAGTTTACACCACATAGCCGAGGCCCAGACCACCCGGGTCCTCCTTACCAGGCTCCCTGCCTTTACAACCTTGACTGACCCTGGACTCCTACGTATGAATATTCTCCGCATTACCCCCAAGCTTCTTCCAACAACTTGTGTACGTTTGTACGTCTACTGTAGTATCTTCCTTTGAGAAGATAGATGAACACGCTTGATGGACCGAAGGACGGACAAGGGAGGATGGATTTTACACATTTTCGATACTACGTGAATGTATTAGGATTAGGATGTATTCTTACAGTGGAGGAGAGAAAGTGCTCCTGTCCTTTCACAAGTTTGCTTGCTTAATATCTTTTTGCTTTCTAGAAATTATATTCACAATAAACCTGACATCGTCAGCCACCACTTGGTAAGTAGAGAGAGAGGTAGCAAGCACTAATGATCTCTCACACATATACTGACTGTGATGTGATGCGTTACTGCTAATATGCGCTACACTAGTCTAGAGGTATCGTGACATGAGAACGAACCCCCTGCCTGCCTAGCTGTTCCGCTCCGTGATCCTCCTCCTCTTCTTCCCGGGCGCCCCAGGCCCGATTGTGTATGCCCCTGTCCATGGCCCTATGCTTTCATCGTGAGCAGCAAAGCCAAACATTTTCTTGGCTTCAAGCACAATTTCTATATCGACCATGCGACGCCGTTTCCTGCTTTTGTTGTCATGCGACACTATTGTTGAGGTATCATCAGTGAGAAAACTTGGGCGTTTAGTGTCGCTTCCCTTGTGCTCATTGTCATAGCCACTTTCACAGTTACTTTCACTCTCTCCATTTCCTTGACCACCCGCTTCGTTACTTCCACCGAGCAAACTCTCTTGCATTGAGTTTGCCTCTTCCAGTTCGGGAGGAGGTATTATCGACGACGGCGATGCCCTTAGTCCCTTATCAGTGGTGGTGGTGGTGGTGGCCCTCTCCAAAATCTCCCTTTCTACATCTACATCGCTGACAGAACTCATGTTTATGCTTCCTGACGACGATGACCTCTTTCCTTCCTGCCCCTCTTGCTGTAGTTGCTGCTTCTCCTGTTCATGTCGCTCCTCGGAAAACGACAGCCCCAGAGGAGAAGGACTAGAACCAGGATCAGGGCTAGGATCAAGAAGAAGACCATCATGCTTTCCCGCCGCCGCTGCCGCCGCCGCCGCCGTGATTTCTAGTATGGCCTTCTTCAACTCCCCGGCCTCTTTCTCCAACCGGTCCGCTTTCTCCCTTAAGGCTTCCAGCGCAGAATTCTTGAGGTCCAGAGCCTTGCCGGTTTTGATGCACAGGGTTTTGACAATCTGAGCTGTCTGCGTCGCTGATTGTGAGTTATATAGAGCAGAGAGATAATGTTGTTGGATGTCGTAGGAGGATTGGGGTGTTGGAAGGTTATTATGTTTGTGTCCGCCTTTTGTCGCTGCCGGTGATAGTAGAGGCGGAGAGGGTGTGGACTCGAGTTTGACAAAGAGGGATTCGACGAAGGCTTGGTTGTAGGGATTGTCGTTTGAGGTGCTGGTCGAGGTGTCAGAGTCAGAGTCAGGATCAGAGTCGGAGTCGGAGTCGTCTTCTTCGGAGTCTTCGGAGTCTTCGGAGTCAGAGACTGATTCATCACTTTCGCTCTGCTCGGAATCGGATTCTTCTTCGTCTTCCCAATCACCTTCGTCATCATTCTCGTCAGAGATGTAACCCATCGCCGCTGCTGCCGCTGCTGCTTCAGCAGCTGTTGGTCCCCATAACATCCTCACGCCATCCTTGGGCTTCCTCATCTTCTGTGCTAGCACAAGCCCCACCATTACCTCCTCACCCCATATCCCATCTCCACCCTCTGCCCTTCCAACCATCAATTTGATATCCGGATTCCGCTCCAGAAACTGTTGAATCAAAATACCCAACCATTCCTCATCCTGGAGGTCCAAATCCACTTCCTGCCCATCAAATAACAACGATAACGCCATGCTAGTCAGTTTACCACGACTCGGTGCTCCTCTCCCTAGTGACTCTTCGCGAAGGTACCAGTTCACCAGGTATCGTTCCTGGATATCAGACAGTTGCATACTTTGACGTCGTGCCAATACTAGCTTCGACGACGGAGGTGAGGTGACGTTACTCTCAGCGTCAATGATCTCATGGTCACCACCATCCTCCGCCTCCGAACCCGATTCCGATTCCGATTCCGATTCCTCCAAGTCCGAGTCCAAGTCAGAGTCGCTCATCAAGTCCACAACCTTTGACATCCTTCCACTGCCGGCCCCATTAGCAAAAGCATTACCATTAGTATTGGCTTTAGCAGAGTTCGGCAACAACAGATCAACATCCACCCCCTGCTTCTTCAAAGCGCCTTTCCTCGCGCTCAAGGTGCTCTTGTGAATTCCATACTTTCTCGCAAAATAGAAGAGGCTCGGCCGCGGATTGCTGCAGAGGTACTCCTCCCAGGCAGCATCGCATCGCTCAGCTCTGGACATGTAGTCTGAAGGGTTATTGTTGTTGTTGTTACTTTTCTCTTTGCTTCTGCTGCCATTGCTGGTGCTGCTGTTGCTGGTGCTGCTGTTTCTGTTGCTGGTGCTGTTGCTGTTGCTGCTACTGCTAACCCCGGCGTTCACGCTTGTCTGTGCGGCGGCTTTGATTCGGCTGCTGCTTCTGAGACCTAGACCTCGTCCTCGGTCTCGCTCTTGATGTGATTGTGGTTGTGGTCGTGGCGGTGACGCGCTCTCCTTCTCCTTCTTCTTCTTCTTCTTCTTTTCTGTCGGGTCCTGTTTCTGACTTTCGCCTTGTCCTTGATCCTGTCGTGGCCGTTGGCTTGTGCTGCTTCTGACTTTGATTACTGCTGCTATTGCCTCTTCCGCTGAGCCTCCACTGGGCTGTTGTCGTTGTAATTGTTGTTGTTGTTGTTGTTGTTGTTGTTGTTGTTGTTGTTGTTGTTGTTGTTGTTGTTGTTGTTGTTGTTGTTGTTGTTGTTGTTGTTGTTGTTGTTGTTGTTGTTGTTGTTGTTGTTGTTGTTGTTGTTGTTGTTGTTGTTGTTGTTGTTGTTGTTGTTGTTGTTGTTGTTGTTGTTGGACTTGTACATCTCCATGCCTACTACTACTACTACTACTACTACTACCAGTAGTAATGTAGGTGTCCCGCTTTGCTGGCATCCTTCCTGGAATCGTTGAGGATGGGACATTGATACCGGCTGCTCTCAACTTAGCAGCCCTACCGAAGAGCGTCCGACGACCCACGCCGAATCTTTTGGCGACGTGCTTGTAACAATGACCGGGATTTTGGATGATGTACTCCATGGCAGAGTTGATGCGATCTACTCTTGCTCTTAGTGTGGATAGACTTCTGGCTTGTTTTGGTCCACTTGCAGAGGTTGGTGCTGGTGTCGGTACTGCTGCTGTTGGTGGTGGTCGTAGTGGTGGCGGCGGCGGCGGGATGCTCTTGCCTGGAATACCAGGCTTGACTCCGGCTTCTTGTTGTCGACGTGAACTCGGAGGATTACTCCTCAAGTTGTTTGCCCTTCCGCTCCTGGTTTTCTTTCCGCTATCCCCAGCACTTCTAGCAACGTCCTTCGAGATCTTCGTCGAAGCTATCCTCTTGTTCATGGTGCTTGGATGTAGACCGTACTTTTTAGCGATGTCAAGGCCAGACACCGGGGGACTGCTGTGAAGGTATTCGTCAAAGGCGGCTTCTACGGCTTCTCGAGAGGCTTTCTTGCCTGGCTTGGGAATGGGAAATGTGAGACTGTGTCGCTCTGGTCTTGTTGTCGTTGTTGGCCTTGCTAACGCTGCCGGTGCCTCAATCCTTGAAACTTCCATGGTCTCTTCATCACTGTCCAGAGCCTCAGTTGCATCATCCTCCTTCTTCTTCTTCCTCTTCTCCCTCCACAGTCTCATTGTAAGACTGCCAACCGAAACGCCATACCGCCTGGCATAAAAGCGCATATCGAACCCCCCAGGGTTGTTGTGGAGGTAGTCATGAAGCGCGGCGCTCACGCTATTGCTCTTGATTACTCGCTGCCCAGGTCGTCGGTGCGAAAGCGGCTGAGGTCCGGTCCTGGGCTCCATTTCGCCGTCGCGATTTGCACCTTGCGGACCCTTGTTCTCAAATTCTGGCATGTTGGAATTGTAGCCAGTTCTATCTGTGAACGGGGCATATGAGTCACTGGACCATTAGGTGTGGCCCGGAAATGAGTGGGCTATATAGTTGATGTGAAGAACAGTGCTTGTTGATGATGTTGATGTCTCCAAACTATGGTGGGGTGGAGGTGTTGTCAACGGCGGGGAGGCCCAGGGACAGAGCCGCCAGCAGTACATTGCATGACGCGCCGTAAACCACTGGATCCCGGACGTGCTTCAGGGCAGGAGCAAAGTCGCTAAATTGACTTTGCTATCGATATTCGGTAAAAGTATGTATTATTGATGTAGACCCAACAGGGCATGCAGTTGAAGTAATCGGTGGTAGGAGAGGCATCAAGACCACCACCTCGTCGTCCCCTTATTTTTTTTCACCCAATAATTTACAACCAGTCTCAATCACTTATAGCTAGCTCACCCGCTTTCTACAAGTCTACTGCAGCGTGATCTGGTAGTGTGTTGGATGACGTGCAGTAGTGTATTTACGACCAGGGCTTATACTGCGCGCCCAATTTGTCCTTTTACCTCCCTCTCGAGTTGTTGAATTAGTACCTTGAAGTACTCCAACTACACAGCTAGTGCTGTATTTGATTTATTTCGAAGATCATGTAGCTTGACAGCTAACGTACAGGTTGTTGAGCGAGTTGGAAGTCACCTGAAATCGCATGTGCTTTTCGTCTTCACACCAGTTCGGTCATCTCTCTGTGGAAAATGATTGGTACTCATCTCGCTCGAAAACCTCCTCGTTTCCTTATAATTCAAGCAATGCCGAGGTCAATGTCCGTTTGGCCAGACTAGAGAATAACTGAGATTAATGAATAAGTGATAACACACAATAATTCGTCTTCACAGGGACAGCGCCCTCATATTTTACCTAAACGCCGATGCTTTTGCCAACTTTTGCCCTAGCTGAAATTGGTTTCGATTCGCCCTTTATTAAGTTCTCATCCGAATCAAACGCCGTGACTCCTAATGTGGACACCGCGAGCCCTGGAACGCTTCCTTGTGTAATTGATTCGGACTCATGTCGTTTTTCTTCTCGCTTAATTGTGAATGGCCCAGCCCAATCGAAACTCTTTCTCAGTCGCCAAGCTAATCGCGGTCGTCCCGATCCCTGTACTTCTCCCGATACCGATCCCTATCCGGAGACCGGCTGTAACTCCTGCTCCTGCTCCGGCTCAGGCTGCGATCCTGGTTGTCCGCAGCCCTTCTACGGGGTGGGCTCCGGCTCCGACTGTAGCTCCCGCTGCGGCTTCTGCTCCTGCTTAGGCTCCTCTCCGACACCGGACTTCTGGATCGGCCCGTATCCCTGACTGGGCTTCTCGTACGACTTCTCTCCCTGATGGGGCTTCTGCTCCTGCTCCTGTCCCTTCCAGCGGCGCCCCGATAGCTGTCAACCTCCCTATCCCTCCCTCCTCTTCCACCTCTTCCACCCCTTCCTCTCGGAGTTGGCGGCCTGTCCCAATCCCTGGGAGGAGCGCGGCGCTCCCTAGAGTTGAGTCTGCCCTCGTCCCTATCCCTGCGACCAAAACCACGACCACGACCACGGTCACGATCGCCACCACGGTCATTGCCACCAGAGGGCCCACTTGGTGCAGGCGGGGGCGGCATGCTGCTGCTGTCACCATTTGCTTCCCGCTCAAGTGCACCCTTCAGCCTCTCCTCCTGCTTTTTCCAGTGGCTTCCCTCTTGGTAGTCCCGGCTAATCTTCAGCGCCTGGCGCAACCGCTCGCTCTCCTTGATCTTGGCGTCGGCTAGTTCGTGGACCTGGTGCATCTTCAAGTTCTTGCGGGGGCCGGTGGGCGCACCGCGACTGTTTTGATTGCGCTCCATTTCGGCGAGGAGTTTCTGGCGAAGTTCGTCGCAACGGGTTTCGATTTCATCCTCTTCGATGCTGCCACCGGTGTTAGCAAGCAAGGAGCAGGTGCTGGAGATGGGTCCAGAGCCAACTCACCCCTCTTCTTCCAACTTATCGCGCAATTCGAATACCTTCACTTCGACTTCACGCTTGCGATCGTGCTCGAGAAGGCCCTTGTCTGGCTGGCGCGGTTGGTGTTTTAGGCTGTCAAAGTCCTTGGGCGGGTAGGACTGGTAGTTGTCGCGCGGGCGGAAGTGGGCGAGGTTACGCTGGACATAGCCAGAGGTACCGCTACCACGCGGCGTGGAGAGACCGACGTTGTCGGACATTGTTGGTCAGCTTCGGGGATATGATGTTGTTGTTGGTGTTGTTGTTGATGATGATGATGATGATGTAACGGGAAGAAAAGCAGTTGGCCAGTCCTGGGCGGTGATCAATCGAGGTAGCGCTCACTGAAGGCGGTGAAAGGCTATCAACAGTTCGCAGTTGGAGTTGGGGTTGGAATGCGCCGGCAGAATTGTGGATCCAGCTTAACATGTGGGGTCACCCAGCGAGCGGGGCACTGACGTTCTCGAATTCTCGACCCTGCGGGGTGCGATTTTCTTTGCAGAAGGAAAAGTCCCTTTGCGCAGGTGGATCGCCCGGATCTTCCACAGTTTGTTCAACATTTGCCCCGCAGCGACCTTGACGACGGACCTCTTGCGCAACTCCGAACACATCATCCGGACGTGATACCCCCTCAACAACCCCCTCGAACAAACACCTCCACCATGCCTGCTCTCGATGGCATCCTAGAAGCCGCCAACGCGCCGCAACAAGATGGCCAAATCACCTTCCCTCCCGTCACGCGGGACCACATCCTCCACTGCTCCTACGACTACTGGTTCCCCAAGTACCGCACCTCATGCATCCGCTCGCGCGTGATCCCGCTTAGCCGCGAGTTCATCTCGTACATCCGCGAAGACGGCATCATCCTGGCTGACGACGAGCCGGGCAACGAGAACGACTCTGACGACGATGACGACTGGGAGCCCACCGTCCCCTCTTCCGAGATACCCGCTCCTCCCCGCAACCCCGGCGACGCCGACAACGACTCGGACTCGGACGACGAGGACTCCACGCCCGCCAAGCTGCCCCCCAACAAGCGCTTCCCCGACCTGCACAATGCCATCAACGCAGCCATCAAGGCCCTCGGCGGCGCCGCTGCCCCCAAGCTCAACTGGTCCTCGCCCAAGGACGCGACCTGGATCTCGCGCCACCCCAACACGGTGAAATGCACCTCGGCCAACGACGTCTACATCCTCCTCAAGTCCTCGTCCTTCATCAGCCACGATCTCGATCACGCCTTTGACGACTGCGTTCCCTCGACGACAACGACCCCACAATCCCCCTCCTCGACGGCGGCGGCGGCGCAAGCGCAGCAACAACAGCCCCAGGGCTTCACCCCCGTTCTCGTCCTCCGCTCCTTCTTCTCTCCGCTCCCGTCTCTCGAGTTCCGCTGCTTCGTCAAGGACCGCAACCTCATCGCCATCACCCAGCGAGATCTTAACTACTACGCTTTCCTGCGCAGCTTGCGGCCGGCCATCATCGCGCGTTGTCGCGAGCTCTTCAACACCAAGCTCAAGTACACGTTTCCCGATTCGTCGTTTGTGTTTGACGTGTATATCCCCGAGGCGGCATACCGGTCAGACTCTGAGAGTGACGATGATGAAACTTCGGAGGCTAGAAGCAGATTGGCGAGGGCGAGGTTGATCGATATTAACCCGTGGGCGCCGCGGACGGATACGATTTTGTTTGGGTGGGAGGAGTTGTTGGAGGCGGAGGTCAAGATGCCTGTGTTGGGGACGGCGGAGTCAACACCAGAAAAGAAGGAGGAGACGGTGAGGTTACGGTTTTCTGCCACGGGAGCTGCTGCTGCTGCTGCTGCTGGGGGAGATGATAACTTTACGGAACCAGAAGAGGAGGACGACAACGAGCAGAATCACTTTGATGATGATGAGACGACGACGGATGATGAGCACGAAGAGGAGTACGAGGTTGAGCTGAGGCTGGTGGAGCAGGATGATCCGGCTGCGTACAACTTCAGCTCACCGCAATACTCGGCGCATAAGATGCCAAAGGATGTGGTGGATGCTAGTATGGCGGGTGAGGGGGGCATGAGGGAGTTTGCTAGGGAGTGGCAGAGGTTACAGGAGCAGAGGGGAGGTGGTTCTAGCAGCTGAACGAAGCGAAGATCATCGGGACATTAAGGACATTCAAGGATATAGAATATTTGAAGGCGATACAAAGGTATCATTTCATTCAGGTATATCATAAGCGACCCAAAGCAAAAGCAAAAGGCATTCCAGGTTAGGATAGGTTACTAAAATTGGTATCTTTTCTATATTTACACACATATACAATATCTTCACAACAACAAGAACAACACCTTTCCAAACCGTACCCTGCCTGACTGACCTGCTCAACTCCCAAATTACCTTCTTTAACCCCACCTCACACACCCGACCACTTCCCAAACCTCTCCCACCGTTTATACATCTCCCTGAAAATCACCCGTCCACTTGGATCCATGCCATCATTCATGATCCTCAACTCCCCTTCCGCCGGCGTGATATCCACAATACTAAACATGCCCGTCTCCAGCTGCTCCCTCACCACCAGGGGCACCACAAACTCCAGCTGCAGCTTCACGTACGCCATCAGCACCAAATACATGTGCTGGCCGGCGTAGCGCTTGGCCTTGTCCTTTTCGCTGTCGAGGGGTTGGTGTTGGTAGTTGTGATGTTCAGTATCCTTGGTGGTGGCCGAAGTGTTGGAGCGGGAAGAGACCGAAGCAACGGTCGGTTCAGTGATGAGCGTCAGGAGCCTCGACAAAAGCTTGGCGTGGCGTTCCTTTGTTGAGTCCGACAAAAGCGAAGGGGCGGTCGAGGTGGAGGAGGCGGATGAGATGAGTCGGCGGAGGAGGGATTGTAGGGCAGGGATCAAGATGTGGAAGTGTCCGTCTAGACGCTTTCTGTGGCGCTTGATGACGATCTCGACGAGGTGGCAGAGGGATTCGTAGGTCTTGGGGGTGGTGGTGAGCATGGTGGTAGACGAGACGTCGGAAGCGATGGCGGACACGGCGCTGAGGGTTGAGTCGATGTTCCACTGGGTCATGCAGTTGGCCTTCTTGTCGAGAAGTAGGTGGACGATCTTGGCAATCTGGATGAACTGCGCTGGGGAGTCGGTTGCGTGGGAAAGCCTGCTGCAGAGAAGAGTGTGGGCCTGGGCTAGATCGAAGTGTCCCTGCGAGGAGTCGTCGCGGACAGGTGGGCGAGTGCCGCTGATGTGCTGGATCAGCCTCTCCACGATAAGGAGGCGACTGCTGCCGTCAGAGGTCTCGCTCTCCCCAATGAGGAGCTCCTTGAGATAACCGAGCTTGGTGTCTTCGTCAACGCTGCTGACTACCACATCGACATACTCCAGCACTGAGAGCTTCTCAAAGGCTGCGGTCACCGAGCCTAGCTTCTCGGCATCGTTGCCCTCTTCTTCACTGTCATCGGCTGTCGCTTGAGCGCCGGTGACGATCTGAAGAGGTGCGCCCAGCTCTTCCCTGAAATGCTTGGCGATGAAGGTGCGGACTTCCCAGCCAGCTTGGTAGCCATGTTCAAGAAGCCAGTTGCTAGCCTTGAGCAGGGTATCAACTGCAGAAGAGAACTTCTTCTTGACATCCTTGGGTTCTAGGACATCTGTGGCTCCCAAAGCCAGCAGCAAGGGCAGCAGCTTCTTTCCACGCCACTTCTTGGACGTAATAATGGGCTTGACTGTAGCGAGCAGGTTAAGAGAGTCTGCTTCATCCTTAATCTTTTCGTTCTCCTTGACCACGGAGATAAACGCACGCAGCAAAACGAGACGGGGGGCGACGTAGGCTTCTTCAAAGCCGGACTTGAGCACGGTCAAGGCATTGGCGATGTAAGCCTTTTCACGCTCCTCGGGGTAGGCAATACACATCTGTCTGTTCTCGTGTTAGTGCACCACACTAGCAGACGATTTCGTGTTCGACATACCGTATGGTTGACGTAGCCAACGCCTCCAAGAGACGGTAGTCCTCACGCTCTTGGAGGATTGTCTCCGTTGACCCCTTTTCTTCGGACTTCTTGTAGATCTTCCGGATACACCTGCCAGTCGTCTCCAGATCGTCGAACTTCATATCCTCGTAGAATGTAGGCTTTGACATGAGCTTGGTCATCAAGCTCAGCACAAGTGACCAATACTGCGCATCAACATGCTTGGGCTTGTCCACAACCTTCTTGGCCTGCGAGATCAGCCTCTTCATGGTAGACTCCCTCTGTTGTCTGGTTAATGCCTCCATAGGCACCTCGAGCAAAAGCTGTATCGCGCCTCTTGCCACAATCAGAGACTCCAGGCCCTTGGGGGTCTCGATGAGTGAAATGGTCTTATCAACCAGCCCACCAATAACCTTCTCGTTGCCAACAATGTTCTGATTCTCCAAGATCTGTTGGGCCAACACTTGAGCGCTGTCCAGGGTTCGGCTTTCGTCCTTTTCAGAGGGAGTAAGGGCGCTGATTAGTGTTGGTGGGAAAGCGGATTGCCTCTTTGTCAAAAGGCTGACCAGGTGAGGGCACCCTTCAAGTATCCAAGTCGTGTAGGAACTCTTGCTAACAGAGCTCTCGTCGCCCTTGGAGGTACCCTTGGTATCATCCTTCTTGTCTAGCTTGTCAACAAACGAGCTGGTCAGAGAGGCTGCCTCGTCATCATCAGCAAGCTTCACCCAAGCTGCCGCGCAACACTTGAATGCAGCAAAAGCCTCTGGAGAATATGTTTCCGAACGCTTGAGCGTAGTCTTCAGGTTCGAGTGAATGCTTCCCCAGACAGACTTGGCATCTGCTACAGTCGCCCGGCTGATGGCCTTTTCAGCAACAGTCCACCGAGCTGTAGAGATGACGGACTTTTCCTTTTTGTCAAACTTTTCCTTGGAGGCGATTTCAAGCGTGCGCATGTTGGCAGCATCAATATATGCTTCCAGGGACAGTCCGTTTGCGATAGCCGCAAGAATAACCAACTTAACACCCTTCTGTTTTGTCTTTTGCCCGTCGACCCAGCTAAGAATATCCACTAACTGACCAACAGTAAGAGATTGTTCAACGGTTTTCGCCACGGCATTCGCCAGTTGGCCACTTGTCCAAGGGAACCCGCTCAGCTCGTTCTTGTCAAGGTACGTTAGCCATGTCTTGATGAATCCCTGCAGGTCGCGAGCCCGAGCATGGCCATTGACTAGATGGATGAGGAACTCGGTCGCCTTATCAAACTTCTCCGCCTCCTTCTCCTTAGTGCAGAAAGTGTGCGCGAGAGCTTGGTCAAGAAGGACCTGTCCTTCTTGCGTAACCAAGAACACATCCGGGTTTAGCTTAGCGATGGAAAGGTGGAGCTTCCAGTTGAGTTTATCCCCCTGAAGCCCATATGCCTTGCACACAGAGCGCAGGCTCTCGGCTGATAGAGGCAGCTGCTGGTCTGCCGCCATTTCCAGGACAGCTTCAACAGCAGGTTGGCTCTTGCTGGCGTCGGCACCCTTCAAAGCTGCCAGGATACCATCAAAAACAGCCTGTATCCATTCCTCATAATCCTTCTTTGTCGCCTTTTCGCTTAGCACACGCGGTGCCCTGGTGACGAGGTCGAAGAGAACGGGGTAGTTGGTAGAGGCGAAGTCGGAGGACATCTGGGTAGCGACTTGGATGACATCCTGAGCCCGGTTGTTTAGGAAGGCCGCTCGTGCAGGGAGGATCATGTTTCGTGTGAGAAAGCGACGGAGGTCCCGGGCCCATTGCTCTTGTACGGTGGCGTCGATAGTAAGGGAAGGGTGGCGCGGTGTGGCCGTCAGTCTGCTGAGGAGATGGGCGCCCAAGCCAGACAGCGAGACAGCGACGGCCGAAGCATCTTCGGGACCTTGGAGATGGAGGTCCCAGAGGGTATAGAAAGTGGACATCCATGTGCTTTGTTCCTTGGACGACTCGAGCTCATCGCTTTTCGCGGCAAGATTGCAGATGGAAAGAATTGGCACCAGAATCTGCATAACATCCGAAGCAGACGAAGAGAAGAGCGACTTGATGTGTTCGGCACCCATACGATTGCTCGGCAGCCCGTCGGTTGACTTGATGTCGCATCGAGATAGAAGGATTCGGAGAGCTTCGAAGACAGCCTCGGCGGTTTGTAGGCATCCTGCGACTTGTTGTTGACTACTGAGATCGAATTTGGCGGCTGTTGTCCGTTTTCGTTTCCTCGAGTTCTGCGCAGTTTCGTTTGATGTAGCATCCTTCATCTCGACATCTGAGTCTCCCTTCTTGCTTTGTGGTGTCGAGATGTCCTTGAGTGTCTGTTGCAGGACGGCAATGAATCGTCGGTCGGCAAGCGACTTCGCTAGGGAAAAGAGTGGGATCCAGGCAAAAACTGCGCCCATGATATTCCATGATAGGGGAAAGCGTCGGACTTGGTCGTTGATGGGGGCGGATCCAGACATGTTCTTGAGGAGCCATCGCAGCAGCATTTCCTCGGCAGCATGGAAGCTACCTCCCCTGTGTTTCGATAATGTGTTCCATACTGTCTCGAGTCTTTGGCCGATGGTGTCGGCGCTGTTACCGTCGAGTGCGCGGATGGCCTTGATGAGGGCGACCTCGCCTGTCTATGGGTGGTAGTGGCGGTGGTGTTAGTGGAAGTGTTTTCTTTGGCTGGGGTGGTACAGTAAGCTGTCAATGTGAAGCGACGTTAACTTACCTGAGACTCTGCGCTCTTCACACCCATTTTTGAAGTAGAAATTGGGTATCTTAAAAGCCAAAATGCATAATGCGACAAACCGAGAAAGAGTGATGCTTGACCAACTGAAGTGTTAGTGGAAGGTGTAGCTGTGTTACTGTTGACCGCCCCAGCGCCATCTCCAAAATTTCCCAGGATTCTGCCGTCCCAATTCTGGCCCGGGACCCACTCTTGTCAGGGAAATCAATTGCGCCAAGACTTGAGAGCTGGTCACCGCCTTCGGGTGACGACGGAGACAGCCGACGAAGGACAAAGGCACCAATTGGCACTTGCTGGGGTCCATCCGCAATCCGCTCCCTCGCCGGGCCTGCGCTGGGAACATCTCCCGAGGGAAAATAACATCATCGACGTCTGCTGCTAACACTTGAAGGTCGCGTGTTCATCTTTCTTCGTCTGCTGCTCCACCCTCGTCCAGAGGTCACTCGCTACGCATATACAATAGGTCTGTATGTCCGTCTGCCATCTCAACTCGAAGCCTGTGTCTATCAAGCCTTAGCTCGAGACAGGTAGCTGTCGGCATGTTCTGTCCATGTTCTGTCCATGCTATGCCTCTGCTATGTCATAGCTAAGGTACAGCTATGGGCAGGACCTGTAGCTGCCGTGTCTCAGGTCTATGAGCTTAACAGACCAAGCAAAGTTCGCTAACAACCTAGCTCCAACCAACCATTGTGCCTCGTCCAACCACTTCTCGATTTCGCGCGCCTTCAATCTTCTGACTTTCTTGCCTGCAGAGCTTCAAACCACCAAACCCACACATCATCACCATGTCCGACTCGACCTCTTCCCCCGTGGCCGCTGCCCCCTCGACCGCCATGACGCGTCCCGTCAGCGAGGCCCTTCTCAACGAGAAGGTGAGCTTCCCCCCATCGCACAATTGCTCCAGGCCTCGGACACAAACCTCCCACAGCCTTGGGCGCAAAGCCCCGCATTGGGTCCCCTCTAGATAGCTTCATCTGCGCTGTGCCGGCTTTGCTAACAACAGTGCCAATCGCTAGTGGGACCGCTGCCTCTCCAACCTCCTCATCAAGTCCACCCTCGGCCTCGGCTTCGGTGTCGTCTTCTCCGTCCTCATCTTCAAGCGGAGGGCGTGGCCCGCCTTCGTGGGCGTCGGTTTCGGTGCCGGCCGCGCGTATGAGGAGTGCAACACCAGCCTGAAGCAGGCCGCCAGGGAAATCCGTGCCCAGGCCTAAGCCGGTCAATTGAACTGACAGGAGGAGGAAGATCAAAAAGCTTGATTCGGAGTACTCGGTGTTGGAGGAGACGGCGAAGGGAAAAGGGATGTCTTATCATTCTTAGGTTCGGGGGAGAGCGAAAGAGACAAGACACAATGCTAGAGGAGTCATGATGCGCCAAAGACCCAGAGACCCAGACAGACGAGACGGAGCCGCGGATTCCCCCCCACAAGCAAGAGACTGCGATTATTCCCTTTGTGTGTACAACCAAAACGTTCAACGACATAGAGTAGGAGACAGCTGACAGAGAGATGGGCGTGGATGACATGCGATTGCTGTGGATGTTCGGGTTTGTGTGACGAGCGACTGACAGGAACAATAGACCAATCTATTTACTATCTACCCCAACAGACTCAAGCTGATGGAGAACCTTCAGCAGGCCAAGAGAGTGGGCTGAGATAACATCAGTCCACCAGCGAGCATTCGACAAGGACTTGAATCAAACACAACAACTGAAGTTTAATTGAGAAAATGAGGTGCTCTAAGTCATACCAGGTATCCAACCACGGCAACCTTATCTCCAAGCTCCCTCGGAATAGCATTACCAACAGCCTCCTTTCTCCGGGTCTTGCACTCCATGTTGGTAACCCAGCCCAGAAAATCTCCTGAGAACCTGTACCCAGGATCCACGCCTTTTCTTACTACCACCACCGCCGCCATCACGTTCTTCAGTCCCGTCAAATTTTCCTCCCAATCTCCCCAAATCAGCACTCAGCCCACTCGTCCTTCCAACACCCATCTCAGTATTCCCTTCCCTGGCAATGGTTGTGGCAGTGGCAGTGGCAGCAGATCCTTTGCGTTCTCTGAGGCCAATCTCACCTCCACCGCTGATCCTCCTCCCTAATCCCATCGTAAAAGTATTGCTCCTTTTCCTCGTTGCTGTCTTCTGCTGCTCTTCAGGTACCATCTCGACATGCTGTCCCTCTCCTACCCCTATTCCCATGAGAAACGTGCCCAAGCTATTACTCCTCTTCCTCACCCTGTCCACAAGCTCGTGCGCACCAGCAATGACAACAGAGTTGCCCCGGCTGCGTATACCCTCTCTCCCTCCCTCGCCCTCATCCCCGTCATACGCAAATTCAGACCCAGAAGAACTCTCCAACCCGTCTTCCTCCTCTTCCATACCCTCTTTAGCCCTCAGCCCCATCGTCTTCGAACTCATCGGACTGGAAGGACTCTCCCCAAATGCTTCTTTCCACAAACACTTTCCCCCTTTTTCATGCCAATGTCCAAACCCTCCTCCTCCTCCTCTTCCTGATCCTGATCCGGATCCTGATCCTGACCCACAACCAAGACCACTCCCCCGTCCATCCAACTGCAACCCGTTCAACTCCCTGGGGCAATTCTCCCTGTGCCAGTGATGATACGCACAAGCCGAACCCGAGGAAGAAGAAAGGGAGAATCGCCGTCTGCGGACGCCGACCCAGATGATTAGCGCTAATTGGGACACTAGGATGAAGATGCCGAGGGCTAGGAGGATAATTTCGTGGCGGGAGGCGGCGGTGGAGTGGGAGGATTGAGAGGTGGCGTTGATTTTAGGGGGTGTGTTGGATGTTGAGGAGAGAGTGGTGGTACTGGGTATTCGATTGGTGGTGGTGAAAATAGTTGAAAAGGCCGATGTGGTTGATGTGGTGGTTGGAGTTGGTGTAAATTGATTAGTAACCGGCGGGATCGTGACGGTGGTAGCGGCGGCCACTCGACGAAGGACTCGGAGAGTATCGATTGGTTTTGGGTTTGTTTTGGAGGAGAGCGGTAGCGGTTGCGAGGGTGGATGGCGGTGGTAGTGGAGGTTTTGGCCGGGGAAGTGAAGGAGGTCGAAATGGTGGTTGTGGTGATCCATTTTAGATATATCTTGGATGTCTTTTTCTGAGAGTGTTGTTGGCTTAAGAGGACAGGTGCTCCTAGGTCGAGTGGGCAAGGCCATTAATCGGTATGGTGCTGATGGCCGTCTTGTGGTTGCGGTTGTGACAATTGTTCTCGTGACGATGATAAGTGTCTTTCCCCGGGTGTCGAGAGTCTATAGGATCGATTGTGCTATCTGGTTGTGGTTCCCGGTGAGTGATCCGGAGAACTCAGGTGAGAATGCTGAAAAAGGCGAGTATTATCCTTAGGGCGAGGAGAAGATTTTAGAATTTCTAGGTATATAAGGTAAAGATTGGCAGATGAAACACGAGCTGCCTGCATTGGCGATGTGAACGCCAGCGATCCCATTGCTTGATTGTATACTACCTGAGGTCATTTCATTCGCCTCCAAGTTGACTACCGTACCTGCCTTCATGGCCACTTCAATAGAGGTACTCAACTCTCCAACCCAAAAAACAGAAGGCACGAACGGCTACGCTAGAAAAGTCCAAGCCCATGAAGTTCATACCTACCTACCTACAGTAGGTATCTAACAGCGCATTTCGCAGTCCCTCCCTTCACAGTCAGAAAGACAGCCTCATCCGCGAACAGTTATATCCCTTCCACACGTCCATCTGAGATGCTCTCGAGCTCCAAAATAGTGTCAACATCTACCTATCCACGACAGCTAATTCCTGGTGGTCCCATCACAGCTTGGCCGTGTCGTCCCCCTCAGATAACACCAACTTGCCACCGGGAGGCAAAAGCGTAACATCCTGGTACGGCAAGCTAAGGAACTTGTAGACGAAATGGAATCTATTTTCGAGTTCGTTGTCAGTCAGCATCAACCCCATCAACCAGCGACGATTTCTTCTCTGCCAAATACACTTCGAAGGAGGAACAAAGGAACAAAAGATTATGAAACCAGGGCATACCTATCACTCCCAAAAAACGGCTCCTGCCTCCCTTTCTCGTCAGTAACCCAGATCCACGGATTCCCAAACGCCCCCTTATTCAAGGCCTCCTGCGTCGTGTTCTTCAGGGCGTCTTTGATTTGGGGTGTTTCAGTCCCCTTCATGATCTCTTCTACTTGTTCTTTTGTGAACAACTTCTCCTTCTTCTGATCTCCTTCACTACTTTGAGCAGCAATAGAGCCATCAAAGTCCTCCGGACACTCCAACAACGCCTTGGCCACGTTTTCCGGCAGCGTCAGGTCCAAGTTGGGAGGAGACCAGAAGAGATACATGAAGTAGTGTAAGATGGTGAGGAAGGTAGAAGGGGAGTGGTGGGATTTGATGAAGTGGAGGGCGCGGTTGGGCTGTTTGGTTTCTCTTTTGTTAGTTTGGCTGATGATGAGCAAATGGGAGGAGAGAAGGTCAGGGTGGAGCGAAGGCGAGGAGATTGTACATACGACAATACTCTTGGAAACAGCCATCAGGTCCTTGGGTGTTTGGATAACCAGCCCCGGAAACCGGGCGATGGACTGCCGGACGTCATGAGCGAAGTAGACGGCTTTGGCGGGTAGGGTCCAAGGGGGTTTGTTACCTTTTGAACCAGCCGTTAGATCACATCAACGTCAAGGTGAGTAGAGTATAGCAGCGGATAGGCTTGAACATGGAACATCACATACCTGAGCCGACGACGATAGCCCCAAGAAGAACAGGATGAAATCTAGAGGGAGAGAGTGATTAAATCAGGTGGTTAGTTGAGTGGTCACCAGGATCAGCATTTTTTTCTTTTCTTCTTGTATGGTATGGAAAACACGGAGAGAGAGACTCACTCAACCTCTACATTGTGTGCCCTGAGAAGTTCACCATTTTGTTGGAGGTCTAGGAAGGCTAGGTAGCTGTATAGGGACACTATTGTATGCAGAGTGTGTGTTAGTCGTCTCAAAGAGAATAATGAGAAGCACACCCACGTTTCTGTTATTCTACCTAAACCAGGTAGGTAGGTGAGTTCAAGTGACAGCAGGCCTTGGTTCAACTTACCAATGTCCATGTACACATCAATCCTTCCTCCACCCATTGTTGCTGTCTTCCGTTTTCTACCTAGGTATAACCACTTTTCTCTGATCTCGTCTTCTCTGGTTTCGCCCTTGCCCGTTCGTCTCATGCAGTCGCAATAGATGCCACCAAAGGTTCCAATATTCCAATATCGTGAAGCAAGCTATAAGTACTTTAACGTCGGCGTCTCAAAATGCAGGAATTACTGATTAGTGAACATATATCCAATGTGACTGGCTTGTGATGTTATGGTGTCACTGGTGTCGTTCATTCAACCTCGGTTCGGTTCAGGCCCGTTGAGGGGTGTCTAGAGGTAGCCAACCACCTCACAGCTCCTCTCACAAGCGAGCTGTTAGCTCAGCTACGAACGGCTGCAGCGTTGCATGGCTCGAGCATGGCAAGCGATGAACAATGAAACAACGTTTTTAGTGATTAGTGAACCTGCAGCTTTCAGCAACACCGGCTGACCGGGAGCAGCCGATGATGCCGCGCTGTGAGCTCCAGCCTCCAATCTCTTCAGCTACGAGCCCGGTGTCGGGGTTGGTTATCTGCTTAACTTATACTTCTGATATTTTTACTTTTCTAGGGACTTATCGTGCGTATTGTTCTGCATTTTTCTATCTTTTGTTCTTCATCTCGGATGTTTACGAATGAAGGAAGTCCTTCGGCCGGGTGTCATGTCAGTACATGGAGGCTCTTGTGCGATATCACTGCGGGCGCTTGACGGCACTTGGGGGATCAAGCGAAGACTTTGGCAGGGGCTTGTGTTGGTAGAGGGGAGTATGGTCTAAAGTAACTGATGCATCAGCGAATGGAACAGAAGAAGACTGCTTCTTTCGCTGGGTAGTCAGTCATCTTCGATCTTCGTCAGAGATCATCTTGATATGTAGTGTGTAGTTGAACGTGGTGACCGCCAACTCACACAACACAACAGGACCAGCTCAGCCAGGTGAACCGGAACATCAGACTGGGCACGCCGTCCACCTTTATACCCGAAACTCATCAGTCTCCCAGTTATGATGTAAATCCCCAAACCCACCACCATTAAATCCGAAACCGAAAGTACGCGAATCCTCATCAGCATCATATCATCATCATTCATATTACATATCTCCGCGACGACCTTCCCAGTAAAAACGTGGTAAGGTATACTATTCTGAGGAGAAAAAACGAAAGTCACAAGTCCCACAGTCCATGGAATAGTCTAATCTGGGGATAGCCTAGAAAGAGGTAGTAGTGTAAATGAAACCGAATGAATGAGGATGTGTAGAGGTGAGGCTCCATGTCCGCTCGCTTCGCTTCGCTTCCAAATTCCCGACCTTCCTTTTTTTGGTATTTTTCCTTTTCACAAGGACAGACAAAAAAGAAGCCGGGCAACCGATCGATACGGATTATTGGCCACTCGGCCGTGCCGAACTCCCTTCCTGCTGTTCTCGGAAAAATTCAGCCGTTACGGAAAAGCCCCTGAAAAAGCAACAAAAAAAACAAAACAAAAAGAGATCAAAAAAAAGAAAATAAAATGGCACCTTGGCTGTACTGTGCACACCGTACTACGCTTGCCAGGGCACTTGCACCAACGTTCCTGATTAATCCAACGTCCGTGCCTTATGAGTTTGCAAATTCGATTGGAACACTAACTGGACTGGACTTCTTGTCAATTATCAATTTTGCCCAACGTTACAGCCGTGGTTGCCGTGGTTGTTTCGTGGCCCGTGGCCCGGATGTGGGTAGACGTGGGATCCCGTATGCCCGTATCATATCATATCTCTCAAGATTCAGTTGCGCTCTTGTTCTTCTTCGAAACCGGCTTCTAGAATACCTCGTTTTCCAGAGTTAAGCGAACTTTCGCTTGGGTTCGGTTTCCCCTTCGCGATGGCTGGCATGTGGGAGGCCGAAACGATCGTTGAGGAAAGATGAATGGGTTGGGGTTTGCCAGGAGCTGGTGCGCGATCTTGAATATAACACGGCAAAGAAATGCGTATTTCGTTTTGCCCATGTTGTTTCATTTCAAACCATCCGATCTCTCTTTTTTGAGCGTGTTTCGTATCTGTTATGAGATGAGAGGAAGGCAGTCTTTGATGTTGATGGTAGGGCACTTGCTTGTGAGCTTATACGTAGAGTTGTTTTCAAGTGTATCCCAAGCTGCCTTCGCAGCAGGTATGCATATACACGACGGAGCGGGTGTGCAGACGTTTCGCCGTTTGTCCCTGCTCCCGCTCCTCCATCTTGTATGCGATATCGCGGCACATCTCTTGGAACTTGAAGCGGTGGTTTAACAGTGTGCCAGGATATCTAATACTGACTCTGTAACAGAAACCGAACGCAAGTCATTCGGGGTGGGCGTTCACCCCGAAAGCCAGGAACGGGGGAGGGTCAATACGACAAGGAACACATCCATGAAATCGCTGAAATTCCATGACAGCCCGGCTTCTTTCTGGGTTTCTTTTTGGGTCTCAGACTTCTGAATTCGCCATACCACTCCATGAGCCATGCCGTGTCATGATCTGAAACCGCTCCCGAAAGAAAGAACAAGCGAAATCTCAAATCTTGCACTTGCGGCCCGCAAGGGCGAGGATGATGGACATTGAAAAGTGATGAAGGGGCTGCGTGACGAAGGGTAAACCACAAAAAAAACGTGGCAAATGGGGGAAGCGAAGCATTATGAGAAACCAAAAACGGTATGCAAGCAAAGATTGGGTGGCTTCTTGAGTTCCAGTCCGAAGCAACGAAAAAGGACCGAGTTTAGCACAGCGGAGTAAGGGAGGTGGTCTGGCTTATCCTTCCAGGTTGTAGTGTACATAGTAGTGCAGTGTAGCGCATCTCCCACTGAAGACACGGCCTGAAAAGAGCAAAGCAAAAAGACCCCAGCGCTCCAGGCTAGAAACCACACGATGACACCATCGACCAACACCAACAACGGAACGGGAAAGCCAAGAAAGTGGAAAGTCATGATCTCGCCCCCACCAGCTTCAACCAAAAAGTGTTGCCGTGCTAGCGATGCATGTCGCGATCCTGTGCAGCACGGTGCCTGACATGAACATAACGCTAGCATTATTGCAACAGTGGAGTACAAGCTCCAGCCAATAGCCGCGCTTACATGGAGTCAGCCCCTAGCCAGAAAAGAGTTTGGTCTGCTCATTTTTGAAATTGCAGACAATTTCGGGCCAAAAGTCTGCGAAGAGACAAGCTCTCTACCATGCACACTACCACTGGCCACTAAAGAGGCACCGTTGCAGCCTCGCGTAACCCCCCCTACCGACGGCATGAATAAGGAGAAATATCAAATCTCTCAGTTTGTAAATAAAGCTTCAAAAAGGAAAAGACTCCAGTTTTGTGCGATATTGACCGGTGTAGTTTCAGCGAAGAAAGGAATGGAGACAGGTGAAGAAGAGGATACCCGGCCAGTTGGGCGGAGATGAGAAAATTGCGGGATTGGCACAACCCCAAACCAACAATGACTTGAACCAGAAGAAAAGATAAAACTGAACCATGCCGGGATGATGACTGTTGCTTTCGGCCGCTGCCGCGTGGAGATGGTAGCTGCTGCTCTCGTTTTTCTTTCAATTCAATTCGCCCGCCGCGATTGTCCTTTGTGGTCCGGCAGTTTTCTTGTGATTGAAATACGGAGTTTGCCGCGCTAAACAGAAGGCGTTGCCGGATTAATCGTACGTTGGTGTTTTAGGGTTTTTTTAAACTTGCCGAATTTTCGTTCTGTGCCGTTCGTCGTGGGTTCGGACCGTTGTTTTGTTGACAATGGCATGCCCGGCTGTCCTTTGTGAAAGTGATATAAACTCATTCAGACGTCTTCCCGTCACTTCCCTTTTTTTGGGTGATGATTTCTCGTGACTGACCAAGATATCACAATAGGATGTTTCAAACATCCACCAAAATTCATGAGCGTGGATCTTGTTTGAAGAAAAAAAAGACCATCGGTTCTTGCTGATCACATGAGGCGGGGGTATCGAAAAACGGGCCCTGCAGGGGTGGAGGCAGGTGGGAGTGGGACATGGCGCATCGGCATGGTCAATGCTCTGTGGAGAAGGAATCTCTCAGTTCGGATTTAGTTCCAACCCGTCCATTTCGTGCTTTCAGTTCCATTCATTCCCGTAGGTCCTTCCAGTTCGTGTGGGGTGTGATCGTGGTTGTTCCTGCGATGTCCTAGATGAGCAAACAATACTGCGGCCGGCGGGAGGAAGGAAGGGATGGAGGGATGAAAAGAGAGAGAGGGGTGTGTGTGTGATGTTGACCATCAAGCAAACATTTCGAAATCCTTTCAAGCATCGGCATCGTTGCAGTTTGAATACCTGTCTGTCCTATCAGATTTAACGACAGCCAAAGCATACATGATATGCTCCTACCTTATAGAACCAAAGGCTGACGTGTGTCTGATACATGTCTCCTTTGTGCCGCATGGATCGTCAATCCCGGCTAATCTGGTGGTGGTTTCAAAGTCGCACTTTATTAGATGCATATGCACGCATGGAAATCCAAGAATCTGTCTAACCCTCGTCCAGGGGCCTATAGCAGGCGTCGGATCTTTGTTCACGGTTGACGGCCTCATGACTAGTCGAAATGAGCTTGAGGTTGTTGGGGATTTCCGGAGCCCCGATATCCTAAAAGGCGTCGAAGAGGCTCTCCGAGACGTCGTCGTCGTTGTTGTCGTCGCCGCTTCTGCGGTCCGTTAGTTCTACTGTGTACTATGTATTTGGACCAACTCTGCTAGTGCAGGGCTGATCTGTGTACATATACACTTCGTCTACAGACAGACCTGTCACTGGCACTGTCGAAACTGTCACATATAGAATCTATCGATATCGCACAGCTGCCCGTGCCGCATCATACCGGACGCATCAGCACCGGTGGTGGACGCGGATCCGAAGCACCGGCGCAAGCCTGCCGCTGTTTGATGACTGATGTTGATCGGTTCAGGGTCGGTCAGGGGTATCGGGCATGGCTTCGCGAATGTCACGGAGCCCTGCCGTGCTGTGGTCGGATCGGTGCCGTATCCGTGCCAGATCGTGTTCTAACCGGAGCCTGTCCAATGGACCAGGTGCAAATTACGACTCTCCAACCTCGAATTCGACAGATCAGGGTTCAGTGACATGGCAGACAGATGGAATGAGAAGGGGATTATCCTCATAAGCCTCGTTTCCCAATCGCTGAACCGTATCGCACATACACAAAATCCGTGCACGACGTGATGTGCTCAGCGGCGTGATACCATATCAATTGTAGAGATTCTCATGGTCTTTCCCATACCTTTGCTGATACAGTGTTGCTAATTCTGGCCCGTGACAGTTCAGTGGGTTTCCAACATCTTGTTTTTGCAATCACTCAATCGGTCATCGTGTTGACAGAAGCCATTAATCGCAGTGACTGCGCATCTGTAGCGTGTGTAGTAGTGTTGTATGTACGAAGTCGGTAGTGTGTGTACGGAATATGGAGATGTTAGCTAGGTAGGCACTACACTACATTGCTTCTTCTTCTTCTGTTCCTGACCCGGAGGTACGGACGAAACGGGGCTCGACACGGCTCCAGCGCAAAAACATGGCCGCGTTGGGATGCCGACTAGCCTTTGCCCAGAGATCCACTCTTTGAGCTAAGTCAGGAGAACCAAGAAACATGAAAACTGGAAACGCTTTTTTTCATTCGACCGACAATGGCTGTTATCGGCTGGCCAAATTTCAAACGGTCAGGATGGGCAGTCTTGGGGTAAAATTCGCCCACCGCCATGTGGCCATCCCCTTGGTGATCGCATGGGATGGGCCGGACTGGAGCGAGGAACTGGAGCAGAAAAGGGCGATTGTCGAAATGCAAAGGGTGATGGTGTCCAGTGGTGTCCGCCGTTTTTGTGCCGTTCCATGTCATGCCAGGTACGGATGCCACTGGAGGCCAGGGGCACACGTCGGTGGGACATGGATCAAAATGGATAGAGAGGGTCTCGAAGGGGGTGGGCGATGTTACGCTCTTTCCACAGTCGACGCGGTGCATGAACATGAACAGCAGCAGCCTAGAGTAGCATCCACTCGCAATGTTTGGAACTACCTAGGAAGCCAGGCACAGGGCAAGGCAGCCAGTCGCAAAGCAAAGGGCAGAGCCGTGTTATCAAAAAAAAGACCTGGTTCCAAATAGGACGAAAAGGGTCAATGATGGTCGCACAGGTCGGCATCCAAACGAGGAGGAGGAGTCCATCGTCCCAACTCCCAAGACCGGCAGCCCAGGGTCTGTTGCATTGGCCCACTTGCATGCACACAACGACCGCCTCTGATTAGCCAGAGTGCCATCGCAGCTGGAGCCCATCTCACCTTGGAGAGTGCGCGGTGGGTCTCTGCTGGGTCGCTGCCCCCGAAATTCACTGATGGAACTGGGACTGGAAATCGGAGTCCCGTCTAGCGTAGTGCCTGTACTGTGCGCCTGCCCGATGCCTGTACGCACTACGCAGTCAGTACGCATCAGTGCTGGAGTGTGCCTGGTCGCCTGGTTTGGGTCTGGTGTGAGTGCGCACCATTTCACTCACATTAACACCGACAAAGCCAACCTCCCATTCCTCCACCAATTCCCCAATCTTTCCCTTCCTTTCGTTTTCCGTTTTCCGGCTCGACACCCTTCCTCCCGCAACCGCGAATTGCTGAGAGAGTCCAGCAGCAATTCTACTCTTGGCCGCCTACCTCGCGACAATTACCTACCTATCGTATGGTCTTGACGACTTTCTAATTATCGAGCTGCACCCCGTCTCTCCCTTTTGCACCAACCGATCCGACGCTCTCCTTCCAATCAAGTGCGGTTGATTGAAGGCCTAATTGCAATTGCGTGGTATACTGCCGGAAAAAAAAAAGTGAGTAGGTTTGCAACATAAACACTCCATTCAGTCCAGCGCAAGAGAACGAACGCTTTTGCATCCCATCATCCTCCCGCCTTGTCGTGCTGCCCTCAAAGGCTGTCTGTCCTGTTTGCTGCCCATCAATCGCACCTCACCGAGCGCTGCCATGCCCAACAATCGACACTTTCGAAACTGCATCGACCATCGAGCCTCGATCCGGCATTTGTTTGCGGTTTCAACGGGCGCAATGACAGCGACTCCGAGGCTTTTCGGGGGTGGTGGTTCTAGCTCGTTTCTGGAAGGGCACCCGCTATTTTTCGCAGCGGAGACTCCAACTGGACTGCCTCCCGTCCCCCAGAGACCAGGGGGTTCTCGCCCCCCCCTAACACTTACAAATACAAATCGCCTGTCGACGTCCCAGTTCGTCTCAATTATCATCGCTCTGATACTAACCTCAAACTCGTCACCAGACCGTCGATAATAATCCCCGAATAACGAAACAGACACTCTCTATCATTGCTACGAGCTACAACAAGTCGCCAAAATGGGTTGCGGAATGAGTACAGAGGAGAAGGAGGGCAAGGCCCGGAACGAGGAGATTGAGAACCAGCTCAAGAGGGATCGCATGCAACAACGCAATGAGATCAAGATGCTTCTTCTGGGTATGCCATGTCCCCCGACAAGCCAACTGCTGGCGCGGCCCTGGTCCGGACCCTTGGGTCACCAATGAAATTTCACAGAAGCTGACAATATGTTGCAGGTGCTGGTGAATCCGGAAAGTCGACCATTTTGAAGCAGATGAAGCTTATCCACGAAGGAGGTTACTCGCGCGACGAGCGCGAGTCGTTCAAGGAAATCATCTTCAGCAACACTGTGCAGTCCATGCGCGTCATTCTCGAGGCCATGGAGTCCCTAGAGTTGCCACTCGCCGATCAGCGCGTCGAGTACCATGTCCAGACCATCTTCATGCAGCCCGCTCAAATAGAAGGTGACGTGCTGCCTCCTGAGGTCGGCAATGCTATCGAGGCCCTCTGGAGGGACGCTGGCGTCCAGAGCTGCTTTAAGAGGTCAAGGGAATACCAATTGAACGACTCGGCAAGATAGTAAGTTTCCGCATGATGAGGGAGGCTCTGGTCTCCAACCGCTAACATGCTGTCACAGCTACTTCGATAACATCGCTCGTATCGCCGCGCCCGACTATATGCCCAACGACCAGGACGTTCTGCGATCACGTGTCAAGACAACCGGTATTACGGAAACGACCTTCATTATTGGCGATCTTACGTACCGTATGTTCGATGTCGGTGGCCAGCGTAGCGAACGTAAGAAGTGGATCCACTGCTTCGAGAACGTCACCACCATTCTTTTCTTGGTCGCCATTTCCGAGTACGATCAGTTGCTTTTCGAAGATGAAACCGTCAACCGTATGCAGGAGGCCCTTACTCTGTTCGATTCCATCTGCAACTCCAGGTGGTTCATCAAGACATCCATCATTCTTTTCCTCAACAAGATCGATAGGTTTAAGGAGAAGTTGCCGGTCAGCCCGATGAAGAACTACTTCCCCGATTACGAGGGTGGTGATGACTACGCCGCCGCTTGCGACTACATTCTCAACCGCTTCGTCAGTTTGAACCAGCACGAGACCAAGCAGATTTACACGCATTTCACATGCGCGACGGATACTACACAAATTCGTTTCGTCATGGCTGCGGTCAATGGTACGTTATTTGCCTACTCCGAAATTTTGCGTGGACAAGAAGCTAACAGACAAAAACAGATATCATTATCCAGGAGAACCTGCGTCTCTGCGGTTTGATTTGAGCATTGAACGCAATCTTTCTAATTTTTTCATCAGTTAATGGGGCTGTGAGGTTCGGGCAAGCGATTGATACCGATCAGAACTTCGAGTATTGCCGCCCAGTCGTTGCCGCTGGCTCCCTGCCCACAGTTTCTGCCTCCAGATTATGATCTAGTGGAGGTGGCGTGGGCTTTCGAGTGGATATGAGCTCTACATACACCTCGGGGCGTCCCTGGAGAAATTGCATTTGAGAAGCATCATCAAGAGGGGGGCTAACTATTTTGTTTAATCATGATTCCCCATCGACCTTGGAGTCTTTGCTCTCTATCGGTGTTCTGTACGATTTCTTTTTTTCTATCATCTTTTTCTATCCCCTCTGATCCGGGCGCTTTTCACCTTGCTCTTTCTCCCCAGGGACACCGCGGCTGCTATGGGAAGCAAAAGCCCCTCTCAACAAAAGAAATGGATGATTTTGGCGTGCGTGCTTTTCTCAATCTTATTTCGGGTGTCCTTCCATGAGTGGTGTGGGAGAAAGTAATGGGATCCAAGCCCATGGGTTCTGGGGAGAGGATGCTGGAAACAAACAGGTCGCTACCGATTGGGGGGAAGGTAGAGAAGGGAAAGGCGAAGAAAGAGCAGGGGTTACCAAAACCACGACGGACGAAGAGATGAGCGACGCCCGTTTCGTTCCGCTATTTTCCCCTCTGTGGCTGTAAGAGGGCAAAGAAAAACAGAGGGCGGGAAACGTTGCGGCGCGCGCGTGCAGCAAACGATATACCAAGACAAGCGAGGTCTCTTTTCCTTTTTTCACTCTACTTTTTCTGTTTTTTCCCAAGAGAGTTTATTCGCGTGATGTGTTATCTTTGTTTTTGCAGGCGGCGTGGGAGAGGGGAGCAATGGCGGTCCCGGTTTCCTATGGGCAACGCAACGGTTGGATTTGTCTTGTCTGTCTATACCATACCAATACCGATATTGAAACGCGATTAACTTGAAAACAAAATATGATTCCATAATCTATTGATAACCGTGACACTAGTGATATAAAGCTTTACACATATCGTAGTGAGGCGTAATTTGACCAAGTACCAAGCAAACGTGAGTGTGGTGTTGTATCGCAAAAGGGGAACCACAGCAAAAAGGGTAGCACGACATGCGGGAAGGAAGGCAACTGTCCAACTGGCATAGGGTAATATAATCGCCACGAGGGAATGAAGGGGACGAAAAAGGAGGAAAGGAATCCTTTTGTGTTACCAATATAAATCATGCGGCATTCTTTTCGGGTAGCAAACATGGCAGAAAGCACCCGACACCACCAAGTAGCTAGGTAGGTGTAAGTGGTAAAAGATTCTGCAGACAGCCTTGCCCATACTAGGAATATGAATAGCTACACCTCGGAACGTTTACACGCACCACATACTCAGCATGGCGTTCGTCGGAACACTGTAAGATTACTATTTATGTCTTTGTGGTGATGAGCTTGGTCTTTGAGGGAAAGGTGGAGGAGTGTCGAATATGGTTCGAGATTAATCTTTGATGGGAAAGTTGCCCGTGTGTAACTGTAGTCTTGTATACATCTACGATAAGGACGTTCCAGATCAAATTAGATCCTAGAAACAAATAGGAGGACGAGAGTCACCATCGAGAACATCAAGCTTTGAGGGTTTCTAAAATATGCTGGCGATTGAATGGAAGATGAAAGTTATGATGCTGCTGCATAGTATGCCGAGGGCTGGGCTGGGATGACGCCAGAGAGCTGAAGGTTGGAGGTTGTGATCATGACTTGTTGAGATCGAGGTAGTGGACTATGATGGAGATGTTGAAGCCGTGCTACCTATTTAGTGCAAGTAGAATGTTGGATAAATAATAGGGTAAGTCTGCTGGTAGGCCTCGTACTATTTGTATAATCGATCTTCCAGAGAATAACGAAGAGTCAAGTCCATTTGTCTCGAGAGCTATCGAGATGATTCAAGTACCGTCATGTGATGATCTTTCTTTTTTCTTCTTACTTCCAATTCCCTGTTTTGTTTGATATACGCCAGAGGAGTTGAGACCTGAAATTTGAAGTTCGATAAGTCATGTTTAAGAATGGCTCACTATGTCCATACGCTACGCATCTTCTCTCGGTCTGATCCCACAGGATATCCGCAGGTCAAGAAAGTGCAGCGTGGTAGGTGTATGGATCTCAGACAGAGACAGGAGGAAAGAGGGGGACGATGTAGGTTATCATAAAATCCATCTAACTCCGTCCTGTCTATTTGCAGTAGTACAGTGAGTAGTGGTAGTGTTGAAGAGTGACGTACACACTTCGTGAATTGGACGACATTTGGTGTTATTGATATGGATTGTACTAGTCATTTGAGATGATAAGAAAAGAAAAGGAAGAAGAAAAAAAGAACAAAAAAAAAAAATAAGAAGAAGAAGAAAAGAAACCTCATGAAACTTTGTCACTCCCACAAAACACTTATCTGCGCCAGTTTTCTGTTTAAATTATGGTTATCGGATGTATCTCCTTTTTATCTTTATCCTACTTACTGCTCGTCCTGAGTTTCTCAAGCCATTCCTCACCGGGAAACCAGAAACCACCAGTCCTTCCTCCCACACTATCGAGTAGCAATCTCCTCCAAAAGGAAGGGCTAACACGCCGTTTCGTTGAGGACAGTCATCGACGACTTGAAACATTCCATGTCAGGCTACATGCAAATGGGTTTTGACCTTCAGCCTAGCACTGCTGGCAGTACCTATCCTCTCAAGCCAACGATACCCCTATTGCCCCGGGAGAAGGAAAGGAGATGGACATGATAACAGAACGTCTGCTGCAACAGATCATCGTCACAGCCATCATCTTGACCTCCCTCACTTCCCCGGCCCGGTAAAAATCTCCACCCCAACCTGCCGTTCACCCATTTTCACCATCGCCAGGTATCGCTATTGCATCCTCCGGATGTGACGCGAAGTTAAGTGACGCTCTCACGAGTCCTACGCCGAGTAGGTAATCACCGCTACCATCTGTTACCAACCTTCAGTTACCGTTTTCGTATATTAGCACCAGCATCGATTACTGGTCGGTAAGAAGGGGGGTAAGGTAAACCCTCTAAAGCGAGCTCTACCTTCAAGGTTATTTTCAGATCTCAAAAGGGCTCCGAAGGCGTGCATACATAGGTAGAGGTGCCCAACAACCTTGGGATGTTGAACTGACTGTTTGAGACTGAAAGTTCGACATAGACAATTTTCCTTTGTTGAGTTACTTGACATTCTCAATTTGGAGGAGAGGTCGTTGATCTAGTTTTGTATCAGCGGAAACCAACCCCCCAAATAATCGAATAAGCTCCCAAGATGCATTGGGAAATCATTGTGAACAAAGGACCAAAAAGCGTTGTCGTCGGCATCCACTGCTAGTGGCTAGGTACCCCCGACTGGTGTTATGGAGCCACTGGACAATAAAGTCGTCCAAAAAAAACATGGAAAAATGAATCATTTCGACGTGGGCCTGATTCGAACAGACGCTCCCGAAGGAACAAGATTTCTAGTCTTGCGCGTTAGACCACTCCGCCACCACGCCAGTTGATGATTGATTGATGATAACCGCATTGAGAAGTTGGGATCATGAGTCAGACAGGGTGGTGCATGGGTACAACTTGCCAAATGATTTCTGGATGAGAAATGCATGTTCCTTTGCAGTGAAAACCAGGAATTGCAAGGAATTGATAGCGACTGTGGCTCTAAGTTCATGCATGTTGTGTTTTGCTTTGGTGCCTTCAACGCGTTGGAAGGTTCCGATATTGAAAACCGGGGTATCTCTATTTGGCGATCGTAAGAAATGAAATGGTGTTGCATAGTGCTGCCCTTCCAAACGTGTAGTGGTAAGGGAGACGCCATCCATACAACAATGATAGGCAAGCGACCAATGGATGACGGGAGATCGTGCCACGCTCACGTCTTCCCCGCCTGCGCCATCCTCGCCCTCCTTACCTCCTCCTCCCTGCGCATCTCGCTCCTGGCCAAGAAATCCTGCCTCGCCGCAAACGAGTCCTTGGACTTGCCGGCCAGCTCGAGCTCGTCCTTGAGGCCCATCTTGTCGACCGCCACCGCCCAGTCCATCTTGCTCTTCTCGACCGTGTTGAGCTTCTTGGCCTTGTTGCTCGTGGCTTCGCGAGCCTGCAGGCGGGAGGCCATGCTCAGGTTGAGGTCGGAACGATGCGCCGAGTTGGCGTCGGTGATGGGCTCGAAGACGGACCGGAAAGCTTTTCGGGGCATGCGCTTGGCAGAGGAGGACTCGTCCTCGGCGGCTGTTTCGCCGTCGGCTGGAGCATTCTCTCCGAGAGAGGCGAGATAGAGTTTTGCTTCGGCAGAATCGCGGGCAACGAGCTTTTCTTCAGTGTGGACTTTGCCGGCGAAGTTGTAGGTTCTCTTGATCTTTATGAGGTCGGAATCGGGATCTTTCGCCTTGGCTGTTTCTGGCTGCTGGGATGACAATTTCGCGATGTCACGTTTCGCTGCATCGGCGCTTTCGTCTGGTTTCGCTGTACTTGTTCGTGGTATGACCGGCTCGCTGATCATTTGCGCCCAAAGGGCATCGACGTCGATTGTAACAGGTCCGCTGGCGGCGGCTGTTGAACGTTTCTCCTTTCTGCCATTGTCGTTAATGACCAGGACCCAAAAAGAAGAGGATTGATGTGAAAACATACTCAACAGCGCGTTGGCTGCGCGTCTTGATGAGACCGCCCTCGCCAGTTTCCTCATCGTCGGCAGCATTTTTTGTCTTTGTTTTCTTTTGACGTTTCTCCCCCTTCTTTATTATAGCTTCATCTCCGGAATTGTCATAACCAGCGTCTTCCGCCTCGTCGATGGCAGCGCGCTTCCTCTTCTCGGGTTTCGCTTTCTCGGCATCGTCACCGGCTTCTTCGTCGTCATCGTCGGATATTGAGGATTCTTCCGCGGCTTCGGCAGTTTCTGGGGCGAAGTCGGAGTCTTCCTCTGACGCGTAGTCTTCTGCGAGAAGTTCCAGGGTTGGCGGCATCTTGGTATCTCCCGAATGTAACAGTCTGGTCCTCGTCAAGCTATTCGCGTAAAATCCTCGTTGCCGTGTGTGTCGTCGTTCCTCTATGGCACCTCTTCCAAGTATCGTAGGCCGGAATATCAAAGTGGAAAAGTGATGAAGGGAATAAGGACGGGCCCGATCCATGTCTTTGTCCGATCGACTGCAGCGTGACAGTGGAAACACAAACGCTCTGTTAGCAGCCAATAGGGCACCTTGCCGTCATGTCGCCGCTGTTCGGCTCAAGCTCCCCCGCATCACGCCCACACCTTCCTTGATGTCCCGCTGAAAACGCCCCGCAACCGGGAACCTTTTTAGAGTTGCTATCATCCGATGACAAGATGGATCTGCCCTTGACGATGTTGTCAACCACACCACTGGGACATGATGTTCAGGTTCAGAAAGGCCGCTATCACGAAAATGGAAAACTGGTGATGCCGTACTCTCCAATAGACATGGCGATATCCAATAGGGTATTTCTGGTTAAACCAAAAACCACCCCGCCGGTTACACGTAGCCTAGGGCGCATACGGAGCAAGGATGAATTACCTAGCTGCCTCGTGGCGCAGTGTGAGGCGGCATTCCATTCGGAGTCCGGAGTTGTCGTGACAATCGGATTGATTAGCTTGGGTTGGTTTCTGTCGGGATCTTGAAAAGAGTATATAAAGGTAGAGATAGCTTGTCGGCCCCGTTTCAGTCTATAGTCTTGTTCTTTACGCTACTTTCTACAGGATGTGTCCCAAAGGCAACATCACACTGAACATGTCGTCGTCATCTGCTCTGAGTCTCGAAGAGAAGGAACACTTCCTCACCCATGGCTGGGTCAAGTAGGTGTCATGCCACCATACCAGCTGTTCAACCTCGTTCGAGGTACTGACCATGCCAGAATCCCGGCTGCCTTCACGCAGCAGAGAGCACAGGAGATCATCGCCAATGTCTGGACGAGACTAGGAATGGATCCAAATGACAAGTCCACCTGGAACAAGGAACGTGTCAACATGCCCTCACACATGGAGTTCGACGCTGCAGACTTTGCTCCTCGCGCCTGGGCAGCCATCAGCGAGCTTTGCGGCGGCGAGGATAAGATCGCGAACTGGTCCAAGAAGTGGAAGGACTCCCTTATCGTCAACCTGGGCACACCACAGAAAGAAGGGAAACCAGTTCCCCCGCAAAAGCTGGACAATTGGCACGTCGATGGTGACTTCTTCGTCCACTACCTCGACAGCCCGGAGCAGGGCCTGCTCGTCATTCCTCTCTTCACCGATATCATGCCCGAGGGCGGCGGGACCATGATCTGTCCGGAGGCAATCCCTATCCTCGCCAAACACCTGTACGAGCATCCCGAGGGTGTCTCGCCACGTATGGCACCCCGCGGCGATGCCGAGTTCAAGCAAGAGCAGCATCTCAACTGGTTCAACAATACGGCCAAGGGTTGCACCCAGTTTGTCGAGGCAACAGGCAAGGTCGGAGACGTGTACTTACTTCATCCGCTGATGCTGCACTCGGCCTCCAGCAACGCGAAGAGGAACGTCCGCATCATTACCAACCCGCCAGTAGCGCTGAAGCAACCGTTCAACTTTGATAGGGAGGATGGCAACTATTCGCTCGTCGAGCAGGTAACGTTACGAGCCCTCGGAAAAGACCGTCTCAAAGGCTGGAAGATCACCAGGCCAAGAGAACAGATTGTCCCGGAGAGAGTCAGGATCCAGGAGAGGATGAAGCAGGAGGAGCTGGCGAGGTTGGAGGCTTTGAAGAAGGCGGCCGGCCCGGGAGCATCACAGGGTGTACAGGCGGCGGCATGATATTTTGCGGACGTTGTGCGTTATTGTACGATTTTCTAGTAGGACAGCTTACACGATGTCAAAGTCAACAAGAAGAAGTTGGAGATATGGGATGATGAAACTGCAAAAAAGAACCTCGATGGCCGGCAATTTATCTTTCAATTTGTAAGTACACTGTAACAATCCGGGGTAGCGTCACAGCTCCCGCACCGCCTGGACCCTGAAATGCACGCCAAGAAACAGTGGGGCTGTTAGGCAACTTGATGATCTCAACGTCCGACCGAGGTGTCGTTTCAACACTTTTTTGCTCCTTACAACCATCAATTCTTTCCGTATCCTCACACCGGCATAATGAGCGATAGCGACAGTGATGACTACCTGGTTGAGCAACCGCAACTTGCCCCAGATGACCCCATGCGCGCATATGTGCCGCTGTCCTTTGGCAAAACAAGCAGAGAAGCCAATATCGCGGCGCAGATAGAAAGGGCGAGGCGACAGGTAGAGACACCAGCAGCGCCAAAGAAAGGCGACCGCAAGAAGGATGACGATAGTGACAATGACAGCGACGATGATGATGACGACGACGACTCAGACGACGAGTCCGAAGACGAGAGCGATCGATTCCCCGTATCCCACGAGCTTGTACTCAAGACACACGAACGCGCCGTGACAAGCGTGTCCTTGGACCCGGCCGGCGGTCGACTTCTTACGGGTTCCCTCGACGGGACAATCAAGCTGCATGACTTTTCTGCCATGACGCCAACAACACTACGGGCTTTCCGGAGCGTTGATCCGTGGGAGTCCAACAAGTCATCAGCTACCACCGACTCGCACCCGATTCAACGCGCCGAGTTCTGCCCTACTTCGGGCAGCCACTTTCTCTGCGTGACAGCGCATCCTCAAGCCAAGATCATGTCGAGAGATGGCGATATCTTGACAGAGTTTGTCAAGGGCGATATGTATCTTCGCGATATGCACAATACAAAGGGTCACGTCGGAGAGATTACAACAGGCACATGGCATCCCAGCGACCCCAACCTCTGCGTTACTGCTGGCTCGGACAGTACGCTAAGAATTTGGGACGTCAACAACAAGAGAAGCCAAAAAGAGGTGATCGTTTTCAAATCGAAAGCTGCGGGATCGGCTGGTCGGACAAGAATGACATCGGTGGTATGGGGTGCCTCTACCCAGGGGAGCAATCCGGTTCTTGTGGCGGCCGCTCTGGATGGTTCGCTGGTCATGTACAGCGGTAACGGTCCCTTCACGCGACCAGCGGCAGAAATTCGCGAAGCACACAAGCCAGATACATGGACAGGCGGTATCGATATCAGCGCGGATGGACGAATGGTGGTTACAAGAGGAGGTGACGGCTTGATCAAGCTATGGGACACACGCAAGTTCAAGGAGCCTCTCGTCAAGGTCGAGCACCCGTCAACATCGGATCGCTTCCCCATGACCAACATTCGATACTCTCCGGACTCGCGATCGATCATCACTGGTTCTGCATCCGGCCACCTCCACATCCTCAACCCGGGCAACCTCAGACCCGAACATGTTACGCCCATCACGCCCGGTATACCAATCATCGTCGTCGAATGGCACCCCAAGCTCAACCAAATCATTACCGGTTCCGCCAACGCTGAGACCCGCATTCTCTTCAACCCCGAAAAATCCTTCCGCGGTGCCGTTGAAGTCATGTCCCGCGCGCCCAAGAAGCGACACATTGACGACGACCCCAACCTCACGATGGACCAGAGCCTTGGCCTCTCTGCCGACTCCATCGTCACCCCCGGGGCCTCGGTACCGAAACCCAAGGGGAAGCGTGGTAGCGGCACCGGCAGCGGGACTAGAGGCCCCCAGGTGCAGCAGATCACGCCCTTTATGCGCAGCCAGCCGGACGAAAAACACATCTCGGAGAACATCCCGCTCAGCAAAATGTTGCACGAGGACCCCCGAGAGGCGCTGCTCAAGTATGCGGAGGTGGCTAAGAAGGACCCCATGTTTACCAAGGCGTGGAAGGAGACGCAGCCGGTTACGCAGTATGCGGATGTGAGTGAGGGAGAGGAGGAGGGGGAGGGGCCTGATCGGAAGAAGGTTAAGAGGTAATTCTACATGTAAAGCGTTGTATTGCGCATATAGAGATATAGTCGTCTCACCGGAGGTTTTTTTTCCTTGTTTTCTTTTTTTTTCCTTTGGGGTTTTTTGAATTTACAGGAGTCATCATTATGATCATTTAAAGGCAGCCTGACGTAAGTAAAATAGAACCCTTCTGATGGGGATTCATTGATACCAAAGATGACCAGTCAGGTCAACTAGCTGCCGGTACCTGTGATTGGCCAGCCACAAAACATATTCCATGTGGATACCGTAGGAATGTCACCTGGGTTTGTTTACATCCACTCAGGGGTATGATACGGTCCTTTGTTGTCTCCAAACGAATGCCATGGACAGGAATGAGACTGGACGGAAACCTCTCTAGTTGCAGTGATTTGACAATGGACTATGCGACTAAAACGACAATCTACACAAAAAGCCTAGGCTTGAGTATCTTGGCCAATGGCAAATGCTAGGTCCATGCGCTCAGACCCGAGACAGCGATTGGCTGTTCCAAGTTAGCTCGGTATCGCCGCTAAACCCTCAATGGCTAGATTTCTGCACGGGTCAGGGAGAGTCGAATGCATGAAACTGGATTGAGTTGCAAAAAGCGACCGAGCGTATTTTATGTAAGCTCTTCCCCCCAGCCAAATTTTGCGCGTGGAGTCTCTGGCTGGACACGAGCATTGGCCACATCGATCCACTCTGCCAGCTTTTGCCGGGCAGGCAGGCGAACTGGCACTGGACACTGCCACTCTGGCTGCTGTTTCTGCCTGCTGGCTATGTCTGCGCGCTCCCACGTCGCCCGCCCGCCCGCCCGCAGCCGCTGCCTTCACACACAGAGCCTGTCTGTCTGTCTGTCTGTCTGTCTGTCTCTGCCGACCTGACCGACCGACCGACCGTGACCTCTCTCCATCACTTTCCAACCAAGCCAGTTGGACGCGAAGGCTTGTGCATCAAAAAAATCACCACTCTCCCCTGCGACTCATTGAGGCCATCAGGAAACCGCCGACAAAAAACGGGACCACTCAATCCCCGGCGCATCCCACTCGCACCCGGCCGCCACCCCCAACGCGCCGCCCGCGATTGCCATTCCGGCTTTTTTCCTTCATCTTGTCCGACCTTCTTTCCCTTCAGTTCAGTAGGGCCAGAGGTTCAAGGGAGGGCCTGCCTCTAGTCTACAGTCTCCAGTGCACTCACTACCAGTCTACCCTCTGATTTTGCCGCCCCCGACCGTCCGCTTCTCTCCCCCCACTGCCCACTCTACCAGCACCAACCTGGTTTTGGCTCTGGCCTTTTGGCGTGGCGTGCAACTGGGACTCTCTTAACAATTCCTGCTCTACGGTCGCAGAGTCTATCAACCACCGACAATTTACGCAGCCACTCAATACTGGGATATCAGATTCCACTTTCCACGGCAACCAACCCACCACCACCACCACCACCACCACCACCACCATACGGCAAGAAGATCATCGGATCCAGATAGTCTTTTAGCACCACGGCAACGGGAACTGGACCATCTCGCTTCAGCCATCTCGTCCAACAACGACGGCTGAACCACAGCACAGGTTGATAACCACCGCCCTCGACGCTCGGTGAAGCCACCCTTGCTCGTCGCACACACTTCGACGACGCGAACCGACGACTGTCCACCGCGCATCGTCTATCCGTCGTCTGGACTTTTGCATACCACTCAGACAGACATTGCCGCAGCTTTGCATTCTTGCCTCTCCATTCCCCAGTAATTGCAGTCCATCCCTAGGACACAGCTTGTCACTCGCTGCTCTTTTTTTTTTCTTTTTTTTGCCTGACACGTCCTGGTCACGTCCACCAAGGTGTTTTCGCGACGCACCCCACTGCGACTATCATCGTCTATGGATATGCGCCGACAGTGACATCTGCCGGCAGCCATTGAATTCACTTCTCCCGACGGTCTCGATAGCCTCGATAACGCCTCTACTTTTCTACTCCCACCATGGCGGGTGTCCAAATGCCTGCTGCCGTTGCGCAGCACCCGCAAATGGTGATGGCTGCCAACATGAGCGGCCAGCAGGTTCAGGAAGTTTATGCGGTATGCTTTCCTCTTGGTCGCATCAGGGTATCCCACTGCGATTCTGTTATGGTCTCAAGCTAACTTCCAACAGCGCTACCAGCAATTGAAGAAGCAGGGCGTCCCTCAAAACGATCCCGAGTTTATGAAGCTCCACAACATCATCCTGGCCGTATCCCGCAGACAGCAGCAACAACAGCAGCAACAGCAGATGCAACGACAACAACAACAACAACATCAACAACAACATCAGATGGCAGGTGGTGCCGTTAACGGAGGCCAGCCTGGCCGTGCCCCCGGACCCCAGCAGACAGACGGTGTCTCTGGAGCTCAGGTTCCAAAGACGCCTGCTGCTAAGCCTGTCGGTATGCCAACTGGCCAGCCACAAGGAGGTGTCCCCTACACAAAGGCTCAGATTCAGTTGCTCAAGGATCAAATAAAGGCTTTCCAAGCGCTAAGTCGGAATCAGGGCGTCCCAGCTGCCCTTCAAAAACAACTTTACGAGTTTAGGGCTCGGCGCAACTCTGCCCAGGTTGCGCAAGCGGCATCCAACGCGTCTGCTGCTCAGACTAACTCCAGTACACCAACCCAAGACACCCCCAAGACCGGCAGCTCCAACGGTCAGGAGGAGGCTGATTCAACACCAAAGGCCCGTGAGCTCAAGACAGTCAAGCTGCCACTAGAAGCCGGACTGGTCAAGAACAGCATCAACTACCTCGAGCATGGGCGCCGCAAGAATCGCCTTATCATCCCTGGCATTTTTCCCACGGGTGTCGATTTCGAGCAGTTGAGAGCAGACCGTGAGAAGATTGTGTTCAATCGCATGAGCGCCCGCTATGCCGAGCTCAAGAGCCTCCCGGGTAACCTGGCGCATTGGGACACAAGTAAAGATGAAGTCGTCGCCGATGACACGGCCAAGCGCAAGGCCATTATCGAGATGAAGAAGCTGGCTTTGTACTCCAAACAGCGAGCGCTGAGGGATAAGGTTGGGAAACAAATGCTACACTATGATAACCTTGCGATGACGACAAATAGGACAATGTACCGCCGCATGAAGAAGCAGAGTGTTAGGGAAGCCCGGGTTACCGAGAAGCTTGAGAAGCAGCAACGTGACGCGCGCGAGAATAGGGAACGCAAGAAGCACGTCGAGTTTCTGCAAGCGGTTCAAAACCACAAGGTGGAGATACAAAACGTCGCCTCGATTCAGCGTAACAAGCTGCAGAAAATGGGTCGTCTCATGTATGCGCATCACTTCAACATCGAGAAGGAGGAGCAAAAGAGGGTGGAAAGGACGGCCAAGCAGCGTCTGCAGGCCCTCAAGGCCAACGACGAAGAAGCTTATCTCAAGCTGCTCGACCAGGCCAAGGATACTCGTATTACTCACCTTCTCCGCCAGACCGACGGTTTCCTTCATCAGCTCGCCTCGTCGGTTCGTGCACAACAGCGCGAGGCCGCCGAGCGTTATGGCGACGATTTGCAAAACATCCCAGAAGAGGAGAGCGATGTGGACGAGGACGAAGAAAGTAGCCGGAAGATCGACTACTATGCCGTTGCGCACAGAATCAAGGAAGAGGTTACAGAACAAGCCAGTATTCTGGTCGGTGGTACTCTCAAGGAGTACCAGCTCAAGGGTCTGCAGTGGATGTTGTCGCTCTACAACAACAACCTCAACGGTATCTTGGCCGACGAAATGGGTCTCGGAAAGACTATTCAGACAATCAGTTTGGTCACGTATCTCATCGAGAAAAAGCAGCAGAATGGACCGTACCTGGTTATTGTTCCGCTCAGTACGCTCACCAACTGGAACCTTGAATTCGATAAGTGGGCGCCATCCGTTGCCAAGATCGTCTACAAAGGTCCTCCCAACACCCGCAAGCTGCAACAGGAGAAGATCCGTCGTGGGGAATTCCAGGTCTTGCTCACGACATACGAGTACATCATCAAGGATCGCCCGCTGTTGAGCAAGATCAAGTGGTTCCACATGATCATTGATGAAGGACATCGTATGAAGAACGCTAACTCGAAGCTGAGCGCCACCATCCAGCAATTCTACAGCACCCGATTCCGCTTGATTCTCACGGGTACTCCCTTGCAAAACAACCTTGCCGAACTGTGGTCCATGCTCAACTTCGTCTTGCCGAACATCTTCAAATCAGCCAAGACTTTTGATGAATGGTTCAACACTCCTTTCGCCAACACGGGTGGGCAGGACAAGATGGAACTCACAGAAGAAGAGCAGATTCTCGTCATTCGTCGTCTGCACAAGGTGCTGCGGCCATTCTTGCTGCGTCGTCTCAAAAAGGATGTCGAAAAGGATCTGCCAGACAAGACAGAAAAGGTTATCAAGTGCAAGTTTTCGGCCCTGCAGCAACGTCTGTACAAGCAAATGGTTACCCACCAAAAGATTCTTGTCAGCGACGGAAAGGGAGGCAAGACTGGTGCCCGTGGTTTGAGCAACATGATCATGCAGCTCCGCAAGCTCTGTAACCATCCATTTGTGTTTGACGAAGTCGAGAACCAAATGAACCCGACCAACACCAGCAACGACCTGCTGTGGAGAACAGCCGGTAAGTTTGAGCTTCTGGACCGTGTGCTGCCCAAGTATAAGGCAACGGGCCATCGTGTCCTGATGTTCTTCCAAATGACCGCTATTATGGACATTATGGAGGATTTCCTCAGGTTCCGTGGCATTCAGTACCTCCGTCTTGACGGTACAACCAAGGCGGAGGACCGTTCCGAGCTCTTGAGGCTCTTCAACGCCCCTGACTCGCCTTACTTCATGTTCCTTCTCTCTACCCGTGCCGGTGGTTTGGGTCTCAACTTGCAGACTGCCGATACGGTCATCATTTACGACTCGGATTGGAACCCTCATCAGGATTTGCAGGCTCAGGATCGTGCTCATCGTATCGGTCAGAAGAACGAAGTGCGTATCCTGCGTCTCATCAGTTCGGCCTCGGTGGAAGAAAAGATCTTGGAGCGTGCCAGATTCAAGCTCGACATGGACGGCAAGGTCATTCAGGCCGGTCGTTTCGATAACAAGTCGTCCGAAACCGATCGTGATGCCATGCTCAGGACTCTGCTTGAGACGGCAGACATGGCGGAGGTTGGTGAGCAGGAAGAGATGGATGACGAGGAACTCAACATGATTTTGGCCCGTAACGAAGATGAGTTGGTCACGTTCCAGCAGCTTGATGATGAAAGAGCTCGCGATCCACTCTATGGTACGGCGCCGGGATGTAAGGGTATCCCTCGCCTCATGGCTGAGAAGGAACTGCCCGATATCTACCTTCAAGAAGGCAATCCGATTGAGGAAGAAGAAGCGGTCTCTCTCGGTCGTGGAGCTCGTGAGCGCACAAAGGTCAAGTACGACGACGGTCTTACAGAAGAGCAGTGGCTCATGGCAGTTGACGATGACGATGATTCGCCAGAGGCTGCGGCAGCCCGCAAAGCGGCACGTAAGGAACGCCGTGAACAAAACAGGCTCAAGAAGATAGCAATCCTCAACAATGCTTCCGGTTCCGTGGATGCCTCACCAAGTGTAAGTCGGGCTAGTACTGAGGAGGTGGAGGTCGCCCCGCCGACACCCAAGAAGCGTGGTCGTAAGCCTGGCAGCAAGAATCTCGAAAAGCGCCCTAGGGAGGATGGTGATGATGAACCTCCTGTCACTAAGAAGCGTCGCGGACCTGGTGGCCGGCCCAAGGCGGTGTCAAACGGAGACAGTCGCATGTCAGCAGAAATGCGCACTAAGCTGCAGCAGAGCATGAGGCGGATCTTTGATGGGTTGATGAACCTTGAAGTGGAGGATGATGAGCCTGCCGAGCAGCTAGATGGTGACAAGGACGAGGACGAAGGCCCACCCACCAGGCTGATCATTGGTCCTTTCGTCAAGCTGCCGCCTAAGCGTGAATGGCCGGATTACTACCTCATGATTACGAACCCGATTTGCATGAAGGATATCGAAAAGAAGATGAAGAAGGAGGACTACCACTCACTTTCGGATATGCGGAAGGACTTGGAGTTGTTGGTGAGGAACTGCAGGACGTTCAACGAGGAGACATCCATGATTTGCATAGATGCAAACAGGATAGAGGTATGTTGTTCCCGCCCTTGGTCACTTAGGTAATTGTTTACTAACAACCATTTCTCAGGCTCACTTCAAGGATCAATTCGAGAAGGAGCTGAACGATCACCCCGAACTCCGCACCCTCGAGGATCCCTCCTCCTCAACCTTCTCCGTAGGAGCATCCTCAACAAAGGACGGCTCAGTCGCCCCATCCACCATTACCAACTTCACCGAGACTCCGCAACCATCGTCGGCACCTCCCGTGCTAGCGCCAGCACCGACCCAACCGACCAGGATCAAGCTCGTGTCTAGCTCAACGTCTTACAACAACGCCGCTTCCTCGTCCAGCGCAATGACATCAGCCGTGAACAGCATGAGCGTCAGCCAGGTGATGAACGGTACCAGCGCGGCGGACAGCGAAGCCGGAGATGAAGATTAGCGGGCTTATCAGCGTCATCGCCAGCGTCAGCGTGCGTTGCGGTCCCGTGTGGAGAGCAGTAGTAGTAGCCATTTCGATGATAGCGGTGATGATGATTACCCATCGGAAGAAGAATAAACAGGTGTTCAGCATCAGTGGAGGAAGGAGATGAAGTGGTGGGTGGATGGGAGTAAACAAAGCAGTAGACTACAGGTGGTGGTCACTACCTACGTAGTAGTCCTTGTATACATAACCTACAATACGAAACTCCCCGTGCGGACGGACGGACAGACATACATATGGTACGGCATGGCATGGCAAGGCAAGAAAAGAGAATTAAACTTAAAGCAGAAGCGAAGACGAAAGAGGAGAAAGATGAAAGACGTGTGGTATGTATGACATTCAGGTTTTCGGCTTACTCGGTTGTTTCGGTAACAGGATGGATGGATGGGGTTGAATGGATTTTAGGTATCATGGCATTGACATAGGATACTACTATATTAAAGACGTTATGTTATGCTTATGGTTTTGACTTGATGCCTTGGTTGACTGGCTGAATAATGTTGGGAGGTAGCGACTGATATAGTGACTTTGTGCATATGGGACAACTTGTATATCAACAAAACCTAGACGATCCACTCATTTTCCTGGGTCTTTTCCAACAATTGACTAGTTCACTTGCTTGCATTTGCTTGATGTGTTATCTAGTAGGCGGAGAAACTGATTCGATATGTTTACCATGTCTTTTTTTTTTTTTTTTTTTTTCTTGACTGATCCTGTGTGGATGTGTGTTCTCAGTCGGAAGATGTGACTACTTTTCCATCTGTCTGGCCGTTGTTCTTCGAAGGATGAGTGAGCTTGCGCGCCCCCCCGAGTCAGAGATTCATTCGTACCTCCCTTTCGTCCGTCTGTCGCTCTTGTACACCTTGTATGTGCAGACCTCCCACAATGTAATTAGATTTCTTCTCTTTGGCTTGAGGCTTGCGCGGATTCCCGTTACTTGTACGCCGTCCGTCTTTGATATCGACAGCAGGAGATGCTTGACTTGTTGTGGTGCGTGTCTGTTGGTGAAGAGGGTGACAGAGGGATGCTTGATGCATGAGAAACAGATTATCATGAGATCAAATAGGTCCCTGGAACCATCTCTTTCCTCCCCGTTAAACCACATTGATATCCTTCCTACATTGATTTTGGTAGATATTTATTTATCTCTCTTCAGACAACGGGAAAAAAAAAGAGAAGAGCAACACCGACAGCTGAAAACATCTTTGTTGCCAAATGACAGACACCAAAAACCTCTTAAAGCTTTTGGAAGGAAACACAAACACCCAAAATAAAAGAAAAGAGAACAGCAATGTGTAAAGAGAGAGACAAAAAGAAAAAAATCCATGAAAAAGAAATGCCTACTACAGGAATCGAACCTGTGATCTTTGCATGTCGAGACAATGACCCACTTCCTTGGGAGTTACCCGCAGGTGATGTGGACAAGGTTATACAAGTGCAACGCATTAGCCACTATGCTAAGCAGGCAATTCACCTTTGCTTGGTGGTTATTTGTTGGGTAATGGTATTTGGACTTCAACTTATATATGACCAAGCACCAGTGTTTCCCTCCCCATGGACAAAACATGGAAAACCTTAACCCCCCATCATCATTACTAGGTACCTTCAAGTTACTTGAACTGACAACAAGAACAACGAACGTTACAAACGACCTCAAACGAACGACGACTGTCTGGAATTTGGATGGAATACCATGATACTACGACCGTGATTAAAGAAAGGAATCCGGTAGGAACTAATTCAGTGTATATCCTTTGTGTCTTTATCAGGCATTTATCGCACTGCCATCTTTTATTCACCCACTTCACTTCACTTACACGCCCCTTCCTTCCTGCCTCTCTCTAGCTTCCACCCAGCTTGCCTTTCCCGTCCTCCTCCCATCATACCACTACCACAACCACCACCACCACTTCCATATTTCACACTCACTCACTCACGCACTCACACAAGCTCCCCAACCCACCAAAGTCCCAATTTGGAATTGGGTTTACAGCCTCCTTTTTGAATAAGAGACATAAGAAAAAAAGAAAATAACCACCCTGCAGCTAACCATCGACCACCACATCCTCCAATAAACACCTGCAGTTACCGTTTGGTGATACCTAAATACTTTTCATCGCGCGGGCGTCAGCGAGGGCATCAGCAACGGCGACGACACGGGCGTGTATACATACATACATACCTCTGTACCATAAGTACCTATTATTATGCAGTCAGTAGTGCCAACAAGACCTTCGTTCAGTCCCAACCCATCCAGATCCGTTCTGTGCTTTTGGCGGTGTAGAATAGACACTGCGATGGAATGCGATGAAAAAATGCGGCTGAAATATCTGCATGCTGCAGCAGCAGGACAAGGGAACTTTACCCACTCACCACTCACCACTCACCACTCAATTACCTAGTTTCGAGTCTAGATCCATACGGCTCGCCCGCCTTGATCGAATCATGACAAGGTTCTCTCTCGTAGTCTAGCTAGTCCTGGATTGCGGCGTAAGGCGGTAGGTATCTTAGGTAGTAAATCCCGTATTGGATAACGAGGAAGGCACCAACGACGACAATGAAGCACCCAACGGATTGTCACATGTTCGTTCGCATTTCTCTCTGACGCTTTAGAGATCTTGCTTGCTTAGTTACTTGGGAAATTCCTGGCGCTATAACTTACCTAGCTTGTGTTGTCAAAAGAGGGCTTGCGCAATGATGATATACGATCTCTTTTGGACCTAAACCCGTAAGTATGCCCGCCCACCCACCCAATTTCCCTACATATATGGTGGTTCGGCAATGCCCGTACTATTTTATCCCATGGGCAGTTCCCTTTTCTTCAACATAGCCGCATATATCTATCTCTGTTTCATCAACTGTCTGGCGACCAACACAAATACACGTGCGACCTAGCTTACACACTTCGCGCACAATCCCCGAAGATCAAAGCCCTCCAAGGCAAATTAAGGAGGTTCTAGACTAATGATGAGCAGTCGATAAGAATGGTTAAAATTTATTCTTGGCAAAAATTGGGAGGTGTTTTGGTTTGCTTGTGTCTCCCTCTAGGAAAAAAATCCCCACACTCCAGCATATAAAGAGGCCAACCAAGTGGCCGCGTGACAATTGAAGAGAAGTAAAGAAGTAAAGTAATAACAGAATATAAACAACAATAACAACATGGTGGTATAAGAATTCGCAGACTGGTGGTATATGATGTGCAGCAAACTCCATGACGCCATCAAAATTCGACAAAAACCAAAGGGGCTGATTGGAAAACACCCCGCTGAAAAAAAAAACAAAAAAAAAAAAAAACGTATCGGCGAAGAAAAAGTCGCAAAGAAGAAAAGGTTACAAACAATGAAAGGGGGTAAAAGTGAGTGAATGTTTTGTCAAGGAGGGGGAAAGTGACATGTGGTAAAAGGGGTTGAAGTCCCGCAACGACAGCTGCAGCTTTGGTCGTTTTCCCTCGCTTGCCTGAAAAGAGATCGAGCCCTCCGATGCTTGTGATGAAACAAGAAGTGCCCGGTGTGAAATGAAGGAAGAGAAAACAATATATGACCGACCACACCAGGGTCAAAACACACACAGGCATCATCTTTGTGCCGTAGTTATAGCCCGTGCTGTGACAAGTTCCCTGCCTATGTACACCCACCAGGCGCCAAACACCAAAGACAAGCAATAAGTGGTGCAAGTAAAGGAGAAAAAGGGGTAGCGAGGAGAAGAGAAATCTACAAAGGCAAGGAAATATAATGTGTCCGTGTTGACAACGCGGTGTTGGGGGATGGCCGAGTTCAGCTTGGCCCACCTCTTCGTCTCCGGCCACGGCTAGGGCCGTCAGGCCGCTGAGCAAGGACTTCGCGCAAAAGGGGATCGTCCTTGTCCTTATCAGTATGATGTACTCGCACATGTCTGCAGTGTCAGTGTTAGCAATCCGTTCTCATAGACTTAAGGGTCACTTGTTTACTCATGCCTACCTTTGGAGGTTATCAGGACGAGGATATTTGTGCTCTCGGTCGGGACAGAACGGGCAGACGTAGCCTGGTGAATCATGCACCAATCCATGCCGAATCATCTCGTTCTTGCGCTTGAATCCCCTTCCACCTTCGCCTCGAGAACACCCTGGTACGGGACAGTAATGAGGTCGCGCGGATGAGTGAACATTGGCGTGTGAGTTTAGCAAGTACTGCGTCTGAAACGGCGCGGCGTTGCAGCCCTGGAATTTGCACACATAAGTACCCGTGTGGCTGGTTAGGCCATCGATGCTCATTCGGTCGGCTATTGATCCGGGCGATGTTGCGGAGGCATTCATGTGACTGCGTGAATGATCTGAGGCGGAGGGTTCTGAACCGCTGGCATAATCGTGCGGCCGTTGTAGGCCATTCCCTTGGGAGAAAAAGTACGGCGAAACAGGTTCCCGACGGTATGGGTCAGAGGCCGATTGTGGCGGCGACGCATGGTTTGTGTATGACAACAAACTTGTCGGAAAACCTGGAGGAGAGCCGGGATAAGGTTGAAGTGGACTTCGCTCAATTATGGGACGGGACAGTTGATTGAGATCCGCCACCCCCAGAGAATCCCTAATGGATGGAAGCGTCTGCTGTGAGGCTCCTTCAAACACTGGGGAGGTCGGATGGATGGGCGGTAAGCCTTCGGGTAGACTATTGGGTGTCAGGGGGTTCGTAGGTGACGCAATTGAGGGTATGCTTCCGGGCTCTCGGGGTGAAAAGGTAATTCCTCGCGGACTATACGGAGTCAGCATCGCAGGCTGGGTTGACCTGTCTGTATCCATATCCGCCTCCGCACGCCTCGCCGCTATGGTTGATTGAACCGTCGCTGTATCATGCTCGGTGATTGGCGGCGTGGGACCTGCATCTGCCTCTTCTTGCTTGACACTGGGAGCGCTGAGATTTTGAACCACGCCCAAGGCACCGGCTGCAAGAGACTGTAGGCTGTCAAAGCCACCACCGGTGTTGATCTCCCTGGAAGGCTCGGCTGACATGTTTCGACGTCGAAGGCTTAGGTGGAGGTGTTCAATATCATCGTGGTCTTCCCCGTTGAAGTGAGGGCTTTGAATGATTTCGTTACCATCCATGGAAGAAGCAGTGTCGGGCTCAAGGGAGTCGTCTCTGTCGCTGTCGGAATGCTCTGATGGTAAGGCTTCGAGGCCGGCTTGGATGGCAATCTCTGGGCGTCTCCCTCCGTCAAGCATATGAAGCAAGACGGCATCACCCTGACTCGGTTTGGACTTGAAGCGACGATCAGACCTTTTGTTACTCGGACTGGAAGGAGGACTGACTTTGGGGTAAGAAAACTCGTCCAGCGAGCTCGTTGGTGGCCCAAGCTGGGGGTGATAGGGCTTCATCAACGGGCTATTCTGGGCAAGTAGTACCTCATCTGGATCGTAGCGATCTCCAGTGGGATCGTAGGCAAGAGTGGAAGCGGCCGTCGTACTCATAATTTCGCGTGTCGTCGGTGCTCTCGCTCGCGGAATGAACGTCTATCAATTCGCCATCGAAGATCGGGCAAACACGTGGATGATGTGATCCGTAGACCTCAGGCCTCCCGTCATGCACTACAGACAGGTTGTCTTGTCTCCTCTTGTTGTTGTATAATCCACTCGCGGGTCACCGGCCGTAGAACTCGCCCGGGTTGTCCCTTGGTCCCCGTCAAAAAAAGCCCTTCCCGAGGGCTCCCAACAAGCGGTCCTGGTAAAGTACTCGTAGTCGTCGAAGTAGGGAATATGCGAGTTCGCGCGCTGCTGTGACCATGCGCTGGGCGAACGAAAGCGTAGGGTGGCGGGCATGTAAGAGCCGCAAGAAGCAGCCCAGGGTGTGTGTGTGTGTGTGTGTGTGTGTGTGCGTGTGCGTGTGGTAAGGAGTTTAGCGAGGAGAGGGTCCAGGTCGAAGTCGCAAAGCAGATCGGAAAGGGCGCTGGACGCGACGCTGGGAGGAGATCAGGCAAGTGGGAGCAGCCTCGTGACTGATTTGATCGAGCGGGGGGTAGTAGAATTACAAGCCCGCGCCAGATGGGACAACAACCAGATGGAACAGTGAAGCGGGAGGGGGGCTGGGCGTCTGGGGAAGCTGAAGGCGCGGAATGCGGCTCAAAGCCCCAACAGCAACGGCTGGTGGATATCCGGGACAAGGCAGAAAAGGAGGGAGATTTGAAGCAGCAGCCAGAGCGATGGGATGGTAGACACGATGGGGACACAAGGGTCGAGGTACCTCCTAGGTAGGTAGGTAGTGTGCAAGGTCAAGGTAATCAGTGGTATACCGTGGTTACCTTGGCTACCAACCAGGAGTCGTCCAGTCCAAGTCGACGATCAAACTTTGAAGGGCTCGTAGGTGAGGCCGCCGAGAGTATCTTTTTTTATTTTTATTTCTTTCCGGAAATTCCCACACCGTTCAGTTGCTTGGATCCGGTCTCTTCTGCGGCTGCTCTGGCGGGTGAACGTGGTGGGTGCCGGGGTCTTCTGGGTCTTGCAATGGAAGGAATGGTTGAAGAGGCACAGAAGGCAGGTAGCGAGGTAGTGGAGGATCGAAGATTGGGGCGGATGGGATGGGGGATCGTTAACGGTTTAAGCCGCAAGGCAGGGCAGTGACAGCCACCAACCTGGACGGAGGAAGATGGAAGGTAAGGTTGTTGCAAGGGTGTAAATGAAGAGGCCAGCCCGGGGAAATCAGATTTCAGAGCGGGATCCCGGGCAGTTGCAAGGTGCAGCCGTCTAATGCGATGGACGTGCAGCTGCCCACTGCTAGAGCTGTGTGAGTGCTACCAGAGCCAAAGAGTGGAGGCGGGGAGGGGGAGAGGAGTGCCCCAGTTGGAGTATGGAAATACGCCTGGGCACCGTGACAGCTGAGAGCTGTGGTTCGTTCGGCTCGTTTAGCACAGCTCCCGCCGGTAATGTGCTAGGGAAATCGAGGCCCAAGGCATGGAAATGATCAGGGGTCTCATTCAAGAGTGCCAAGGTCTGTCTCTCTCTCTCTCTCAGCCTGAGACATATAAGATTCCTTTTCTAGTTGTCGAGGACGGCGATATACGACCCTCAAACCCCGCGGCTTTACAGGACTCGACCAGAATCTCTGAAGGCCAGTGAACAATGTTTAGGTGCGGAGTGTGTAGACCAGCCCGATGATAGGTATTGCAAGCAAAGAGACGGAAGGAAGATGCGGCGAGCTCCGATGGACTTTCGTCTCCAGCAACTACTTAAGCTGCAAAAGTTGGGTTTGATGGGGACGGCCGACGGATTATGCCAGTATGCCTCTTGATATTGGCACGGTCCGACTCGGGTTTCGGTCTGGAATGTCCTGTCGGTATCTCTGTTCGCTCCAAGGAAGCTCCTCGCTTTCGTTCTGCGACTCCTCGTGGGGGTACTGCCGTGCTAGAGAAAGAAGAACAGGTGAACAGGTGGTGAGCAGTTGCAACATTGTGGGTGCGATCTGTCCGTCCGCCGGTTCGTGCGATTCCAAAGCTGGGACGGAAGGAGGCACAGCACCGAGAGAGTGGATGAGGGGTGGTGACTTGTGAGGCTCCTTTTTCCGTGAGGATCCCGATCCCGCCTGTCCGTCCATGCGGCGGCGCCTGAACGTTTAGATGGGAACGACATGCAAGAGAGATGGCTGGCTGGCTGGCTGGGCTGGGCTGGCACGTCGCAGCTTCTAGTGTATATACATACCTACTAACCTACATGGCATTGCACCTACCTACCTACCTACCTACAACCAAGGAGCCACGTCTCGACAAACTTGGAAAAGGTCACGGTTCCATGGGATTGGCAGATTGGCACCGACCGAGTGCAGCGCTGTCACAGTTGCCAGGGGCAGTGCCACAAGTTTGGAAACTGAGAGGACCGTACATGTCAACCACAGTTGTCACTGTAGCTATAATTATAATTAATGCGGTGCTGTGTGGCTGGAATTGAGGGACAAAGTGGGCAGAAAGCTGGCACCCAGTGGACATCGGCAATGCCAAAAATGGGAACTCGTCGATAGTGTCCAAAGTGACCGTCAACGTCTCCGCTTTCAGGAGGAAGTTGAGATCCACAATTCACCATCGCGGCATCCACACTTGCGGTTTGATAAAGCAAAGAGGGACGACGGCAATGATGATGTGAGTGAGTGGGGGGGACCTAACGACTAATAGTATGTGGGGACTTGTTGATGCCCTTTCGACTCCCAATGTCACCTTCTCTCTGTTTCAATGTTTCAAGGTTACTGCATCACAAGATTGATTCATCTCAACGCTTTTCCATGTCGCCCTATTTCCCCCCCCTCCCTCATTGAGCTAAAGCGTTTCACTCTGCTCAATAAACCAAGAACCTTGATGACTGGAAAATGAAAACAATAAAAACAGTACAGGTACTACTATGACAAAGAGAGAGTATACGCACGAAACCCAGCGGTTCAACCAAGTTCAACACACGGCCGGGAGGTACTGTAATCTCATGACCCCACTATGCTGAAGCAGGACGTCCGATTTCATGCCGGCCGATTCCCCCCAAAAAGCTCTCAAGGGCGGGGGTGCGAGGATGCCGCGTGCGAGGATGAGCCTCTTTCTTCTTCCTTGCGATAGGGATGATGAGATGAAGGCAGTTCCAGTAAAGACATGCAGCGGTTGCAAAGCTTCCACTTCGGGCTGCCTTTAGGTTGCACAAATCGGACAATTGCGCCAGAGCTCTCAGATTGGCACTCGATTCACCCTCTCTGATTTGGTAACTCTGCATCCCTCTACCATGGCATGCCGACACTTCTCAAACCAATAGTCTACACTAAAAGACTGGACTCAAAATATCGGGCAATGAACTAACAAAGCGACACCCTCCCTACCTGGTCATACGGACGCAGGTAAAGAGAGCACACGATACACTGATATTCTTGAAACTTTGCCGGAATTGACGATAAAATTACTCTAATGAGTCCGCACTCACGACCGTCCATGACTAGACTTGACCAGCTTCCAATTGCTTGAAACCACCTACAGTACCTGAAATAAGTTTACTGTCGTCGCGACACAAGCTGAGCCGCCTATATCCGTCACTTGCTTTGATATGCTCGAGAGAACTTACCGCACAGTAGTGTACGGTCATTATCCTTCATCGTCTGAGTGGCTGCCGAGGTTTCGCTTCGGCCGGCGCTCGGGAAGGGGTCATGGCTCAAATCATGGGAACTTCCACTTGTGAAGACATACACAGTTCGAACATGAAGTCCCTCAAAGTTGCCAAGGTTGAGCCCCAATCTCGACTTCGCAAGATCCCAGAAGAATGTGGAGAGGGTGACAAGAGAGCCCCAGTCCCCCCTTGTCCCGATGCCGACTGGCCTTGTATGCATGTCTCCACTTTGTCGTTGTCGGAGCGGGTCACTTTGTGGGTGAGTGGATATGCGGGTCAATCATTCCATAGCGGATCCCGTCACCTCATGGGACCGCTGGGGACCGCTGGGGACCGGCACGGGAAGCAGCCCGGTGATGAGCTTCCCCGTCCAGTTCTCGTCAACGATTCAGTTCATTCGGGATTCGAACGACGGCATGAGGGTTGGGCACTGGAGAGGGAATCTCAATAACAATCCCTTATCTGGTGATGCCGGCTCAACAATATTAACCATTATCCGATGGCAGATATCGCTATCCATTATCATGTACATGTATGTATACAATGTGATCACTTTTTCGTGTTCCTAACAACTTGACAGTTTTTGCTCCAAGCGGTTGTGGCGAGGTTAGCGCTCGCGTCTGAAAAGGAAAAAGACGCAAGAAATGCCGATGCCAAGTTGACGAGGCCGCTTTCGTAGACTCATGAGTGTGGGGAGCGGCTAGATCTTAGCAGCACGTGCTGACTTAATGCAAGTTCCTCCATTTCTTTGGATGTCTTCTCTTCGGGCACCTAGGACGACAAGATTGGGTTTGTAACATTGCATCATGCTTCTCAGATATCGGTTCTACCTATGTTTGAGGCAAGGCTCGTTGATTTCCGCACGTTAGCTTTGCGATATCACATCACGGGCGGGGATCGCATCGACCGCTGAACTGGCAAGCCACCGAGCCATATCTCAATCTCCATTCCTTTCATCGTTCCTCTTCCCCTCTCGGATAGCATGCTTGTGCGTGAGAAATGTGGATGGATGAACGGTTGACATGTGCCTAACCAGGCCGCATGATGTCTTTTGAACTCAGCCTCAATTCAACTGAAACGCACATCCCCGCACCGCCGGGTCATCATCCATCCTTCAACAACGTACAAACGACTTGGAGAAAAACACATCAATCCACATTGCGTCAAGTGCCTAACTTAACGAAAGCCACATGGATATCTATTACACATATGCTAACACGAAGCTTAGTCCCTAATATGTCAATAAGCGCCATCACACAGTTACAGAAGTATCATGGGTCGTCAGTCAAATGCCTGGATACTGAACATGTTATCGGCGGTCGGCGGTCAGACGGGACAAGTCCTCCGTCGTTTGTAGTCAGTCAGTTTGAACTCATTCCGTCTTTTCTCTGCTTCTCGCAGATGAGCTAAAGTTGATGCGGTTGCGGACGGTTCAGTCATTGATGCATCTTCCGTTGGACGCTTGTTGCTGTACTGGTTGCTGTTCACTTTACCATGGATAATTAATTCTTGTGAAAGTGGCACTAAGGGCGAAGAACAAAGTTCTGGCAAGTTTGGTGATGGTGGAGTAAACGTGAACGAGGGCAGAGGGGGGTGATGTGCTGTGATACCGCCGTTTCCCCATCTTTCGTCCTCCTCGGAGGGATACGATGGGTCAGAGTCAATCCACAAACCTGGCTGGTGTTGCGGTCTTTGACTCGTCCGCCGAGTTTGAATAGTCAGCGGAGGAGAAGACCAGCCGTTGGCGCTTAGTGGGTGATCTGTGTCTTTCTCTTCTCGTTGTTGATGGGCTGATGATAAGGTGTGACACGAAAGGAAAGGAGTTGGGTTCCTCTGAAAGTGTGGCGAAATCTTAGCACTGGCGTCTTCGTCTTCTTCCTCCTCCTCCTCCTCCATAGGCTCTGCCACCGTACCTAGTTCTTGTTCTCTATCCCCATTATGCGCATCAGTGGTCGCATCGAGCTTCTCGATAAAAGGAGCGAGCCGAATCTTCCTAGGCTCCCACGAAGCTGCATTGTCGCGTTCAAGACGTCTGAAGAGACTGTCATCTTCCTCGGGCTCGCATATCCAGGGATGAGTAAGAGCTTGGCGCGCCGTGAGCCGGTGTTTGCTGTTGTAGGTGAGACATCCGCGAACGAAGTCCTTTGCATGGCTTGAGATGTTTTCATCTGGACGGAGGCGGGAGGTTTGAGAGTCAATGGGCTGATCGTCATTACCGTAGTCTTCATCGCCATCTTGAACAGCAACGTCACAGCCGTGGTCATTGAGGATGATGTTGAGGTATCGGTCGATTCTGCCTTGGCTGGTAAAGTCGAGATGACGAAGATTCGGAAGTTCTTGGAATCCAGAGAAAAGCTGAAGGCAAAGCATCCCAATGGACCAGATGTCGACAGACAATGAATGACCTCGCTCGGAGTTATAGCATTCGCTGAATCAAGCGTTAGTATTGCTCTCAACAATCCAGTGACACATGTCAACCTAGGAGGGGAAGTGCGAAACTCACGGGGCGCGATAGAAGGTTGTTCCAACCTCGGACTTTAATCTTCCACGGTTCGTAACAGCCGAGTCCCCAAAATCGGAGAGAACAAGCCTGTAGGAGACATTTGGCGCTATGGCACAGAGAATATTTTCTGGCTTGATGTCTCGATGTGCGAGCCCCTTGTTGTGGATGTAGTCAACAGCATTGAGGGTCTGGCGTATGATCCAGCGTATTTCTAGCTCGGGGAGTGCCCCCTCGCGCGATAGAAGTGAGAAGAGATCGCCACCAGTAGCCAGCTCTGTAAAGATATACCTAGAGATACATTAGTCGGCCAACCCTACTAGCTGCTCGTGATGAAGGTCTTACACCGAATGCTCTGATTCAAAGGCAGCCTTGATGGAAAGAATATTCGGCTGACAACTTTTGTCAGCTTGAACCATCTTTCCGTGCTCTTTCAAAGACATACGTGATCGAGGTAGCTCAACAGCATTGCCTCCTGCTTGATCCGGCGGAGTATCTGGTGTGATCGGGGCCGTCTATCTAAGTTGTGCACTTTGCAAGCCACCTGCTGCCCTGTTAAGACATCTGTGGCTAGGTAGACCACAGCATGGGCACCATTTCCTAATGTGCGGTCTTCCACAAGGTATCGGCTCTCAAGGAGCTGGATGTTGCTAAGTCAGATCATGGCATGTTTATTGTCTTCGCACGCTAAGATAACAATAATACCTTGAGCTCCTCTCGCTGGCGTGCAGTGAGACGCAGAAACGAAGTTCTCTCCTCGAGCTGAACGAACTTGAAAGTGATGTAAGGATAGATGGAGATGACATCTCCATTCTGGAGTAGTCTTCCCGGAGTGATGTCTGGCTTCTTGCCAACACACTTTTTGTTGAGCAGAGTTCCGTTGGAAGACTGCCGGTCTCGCACAAACACAAGTGATGTATGGCGACCTTCTTCGTCAACAGTGATGGAATACAGCTCAAAGTGGTTTCTTGAGACAGTGGAATCGGCAAAGACAACGTCATTATTGTCTCGGTCCGTGTCACGACCAATTCTGACTGTCTGGTTTGGCCAGATGTAAAAGCCGCCTACACTTGCGATACGAAAGTTAGGGAGCACCGGTTGGAGGAGACCAGCAAGGGATACATCACAGTATTCACGATTGCTTCAGGAAAATGACAGAAACGTACCTCTTATAGGAGGAGTAGTGCTAGTGTCCACGAAGGAAACACTTGCCACAGGCGGTTGCGACATTTCAAACCAGCTATCAAGACCGAGACACGGAAAACAAAGGATAATGATAATGATAATGATAAAGCCGGCAATGTCAGCGTTCACTCATGTATGCGTTGATGTCGTCACTTGCGTCCGTAGATAGTGTTGACTTTTCATGGCCCAAAGTGGCTTTGCGTATTGAGAAGTAGAGGTAGGTAAGGTTGGGAATGACACTCAGAGTTCAAGATCACAGGACGAGATTGGAAGAGTGAGTTGGTGTCTTGAGGATCGACTCCTCCTTCCCATGTCCAGCCATCGTGAAAATTCTTCATGCAGACAAGTCGTGCCTTCCTTTGACCTGACGGTTGCAACTTGCAAGTGAAGTGGAAGTGCAGTGTCCATGGTTGAGGGCTTGCCAGATAGGCAGGAGGCAGGCTCGCCCGTTGGAGGACGGGACGGGAGTCGATCTCCGAGCCCGCGAGCCGAGCTTCTGATGCAGTCCAACGAACTGAAACTCCCTCAGCGGGAGCTTGGGCCACCTAGGGCAAAGGTCGCACCCCGCACGGACCGCATCCAAACAAAGAGCGGCAGGCCTGGGCAATTTGGGCCTGCGTCACCTGACTTACCCCACAGGGCTGCTTGCCCTGGAGCCCTATGAGATAAAAGTTCCCCCTCTCCATTCGCAAGTTGAAACTCTTTCCCATCACCAACAAGCAAAACTCATCTTTAAATCCAAGATGTACGCGCTCCCGCCCCCCAGCATTTGCTTGGCCACCTACTGACATACAAGCAGTTCAAGATGAGAGCGAAGTGGAGAAAGAAGCGCGTGAGACGCCTTAAGCGCAAGAGAAGAAAGATGAGAGCGAGATCGTAAGTTTCACCATCGGCGCATCGACAGTTGATGCAGCTACAATCGCCACTCTGGAGCATATAAGCTGACTCGATCCCAGCAAATAAACGCCTCGCCTCACTCGACCCAATCAGCTCTTGACATCATCCTCTAAGCCATCAGACAACTTGGGCTCGGTGTCGACTCCTCCCCTCAGCGCGGAATGACGCCACATCGGTCGCTCTGAAACCTTGCGGTGATCAGGCGAACTCAGGGTTCCTACGGAACATGCACCCCTCGGGACATGCTGCACATCAAACTGCGGCACACATAGAACGGAACTGTTTGGTGGTGGATATGGTATTGGCTGGTTGCCTGTCAACTTCATGGTTGAGTAGCAACAAGGTGTTTACGGATCAACGCCGGTGGGAGCAAACTGTCTAGTTTGGAGACGCGAATTCGGGATATCCGTCGCAGCAACAATAAAGGCCGCTTCGCTTCATGATACACTTCTATGCATCTGTGACAAACGGGACTGCATGTCTTGGATCAATTGTTTCTGTCGACAACATGGCCATCTGCCCTCGAACAGGTGACATGGCATTTGCACACAAGGGAATACCAATTTTTGCAACATCAGTGAACATTTTTAACGACGGGGGAGGCAGTGGCCTGCATGCACGAGGGCATAGAAATCGCGTCCCAAGCCTTGGTTCGCCTTGTGACTTGGACTGAACCCCTCCATGTCTGGTTGATTGTTCTAGCACGCTTGCGGCTTGCTATTCTTCATCTCTCCAAGCAATTTAACAGCAAACAGATAGCAATTGATTTCATAGCATGAAGATTCCGCGCTTCGTAGTATTTCAACACAATCATCAAACATATTGCATCGTCGTCATCGACTGTGGTGTGTCGATTGCAAAGGCGGTAACTGATACCGGACCCCGGCAGGCGGCAGAATTTTTTTCTGGCTGCGGGATCCACTTGGAAGTTCAGACAGCGACTCTCCAGCTGCATGATCTATTTGATTTGGCGGGACTTCACGACTCTACACTACCCCAGCACCTTTGTAGCCCGCAAACACCACCATGGGAAGCTCATCAGACAAGAAGCGCAAGAGCGCTGAGGATACAACACCCCAAATCAAGAAGAAGAAGGTCGACTCCGAGAAATCGTCCAAGTCGCCCAAGTTCATCAATGTCGGAGCTGTGAAGAGGCCGCAGCATGCGCCTCCGGTCGTGGGTAAGCACATGTTGATCGGCTGAAACCATGGCCGTCAAGTCCAATGGAGGAAGACTCTAACATGCGCTCCCAGCCGCGACCTCGGGACTTGCTCTCTCTTCGTCCATACAATTTCAAGCCTACGCCACACCAGCCGACAAGACCTCGAAGCGCAAGAAGAATGGTGCGCCCGCACAAGAGTTGCTGCTGCACTCTGCCAACCACCGGACGATGGACTACACAGCTCGCGAAGACAGGACAGGAGACTCGTCCGACCCATACCTAAAGCACTACATTGGCATCTTCAACCCCAAAACGGCCGAGGTCGAGATTGTGGAGGCGCGCAAGACGGTGCTCCGTGGCACAGTTAGGTCGCAGAAGGCTGTTGACGAGGCAATGGAAGAGAAGACTCAGAAACAGGTAAGCCTGGAAGTAGTGGTCAGGGGCATAAAACCAGACTGACGGTGCAACAGCAAATGATGGCCATGAGGAACGAGCTCGGCGAGGCATTCGGTACGAAGAAGGCGAAGAAGGCGATCCGCGACGTGACCGAGAACGCCATTACATCCCAAAAGGTTGGCCAGAGCGAGCTGGTGATGATGGACGCCATCAAGACCGCCACCAAGGACATGTCGACCAAGGAAGACCTTCAAGCCGCTGTCGACAACGCCCGACCGGTACCGCGCGGCAACTTCGCTGCCACGGAAATCGCAGACGTCTACGTACCATCCCAAATCATCGGATCCGAGGTCCTGAACGCGATACCAGTGATGGATTGGCAGGAGAGCGTCAAGAACCTAGAGGACATCCAGGTACCTTCGCGCTTCGTCGCCAAGCGCGTTTCCAACGTAGCAAGCAGCGACGACGCGGTGCACAGATTGAGGGTACTGCGGTACCTCTTGTTCGTCATCATTTTCTGGAACGCCACCTCGCAAGGAAGGGAGCGTGGCACAAGAAGCATCGGTAAGAGGGATAAGCTGCGCGAGGTTATGGCACCAGCGCCCGAGATCGTGATTGAAAACATCCGCCGCAAGTTCTCGGACGGCGGAGTCATGCGCAAGACACACGTTGACCTTCTGATGACACACTGCTGCGCATTTGCCGCCATCATCGACGGCTTCAGGGTCAACACGATTGACTTGAGAGAAGATCTGAAGCTGGAGCAGAAGCAGCTCAACCAATACTTTATCGAGATTGGAGCTCGCGTCAAGCAGCAGAAGGTCGCTGACAAGATGGAGAACTTTGCCGTCCTGCAGCTGCCTCTCCAGTTTCCCAAGATCAGACTGCCGGCACGGAAGAGGTAAATCACCCTTTGCTGAGCCGGGCCCACGGCCACGGATCATATCATCAAGTTTAGTTGGATTTAGCGCAGTGCACATCATCCACCCAGTTCTACATTGGACATTTCGGCACTTACGTTTGGAAGTGCTCTACGAAGTGCTGAGAAAAGGCATGCTTTTGGCAAGAGAAGCGATTGTCCAGCTCAGTTGGAAGTCTGGCCGCTTCCAGCCTGTAACCACCATGGTGTGTTGTTGAGACACACCCAAGCGACACCCAGGCGCTGGCCAATCAAAATTCCAAGCGCCTAATCGAGAGGAGGCCATGACCTGTACCGCACTATTTGAGCATCTTGCGGAGGTATACATCAGTTATTTTGTGGTTCGGGCAGTAAAAGCTATGCTAGAAAGCATATATCATTGTATAGACGGTTTAGAGAATAGTCATGGAAATTGATGGGCCATAAGAAGAATGGCGGGAAGCCTATTGTCCCCCAGTCTTTATAAGCTCTGAATGGGGTCAAAGAGATGACAATGAAATCTAGGAAAAGGGTCACCCCACAGAAACTTGGCCCCCCCTGGGTTCTGATTTCCGAGTGCCTCAACGCTTGGCCAACCCCTTTGTGTTTGTTTACTACTGATATCCGCACGGACCCAATGATGAAAATGGGAACTGATGACGGGCCCCTTCGAGATGAGTAATGGGGCAGAGATGATCATTAACCTGAACCAGCTAATACCAGTTGATGTGCAAAATCAGAACCACGAACGTCAACCGGACATATGTAACAAGAATGTCCGCGGCAAATCCTACGCAGATATCATAGCAGCCGACGGCCAGGCTAGAAGAAAACAAGATAGAAAGGTAGTTATATGGCTGGATGGGCATCCGCCCTGGCGTCACCTTCTACCTACCGCTCTGTTCCCTCTCGCTGGCCGCTGGCCGCTGGCCGCCCCGCGGTGTGAGAGGCCGTCGGTGGTAGGTAGGGCTGGGCCGAAGCCGATCACCCCACGATGGAGTCCCTTCCCCTTGTGCCTCCCCAAAGCGTCCCAGACTTTGTCCGTCCTCGTTTCCCCTAGCCCATTGCCTTGACCACCCCGTCGTCCGTGTGCCGGCCGCTGCTTGTGCTTCCCCTCGCTCCAGTCCCCTTAAAAAGTTGGACCCCTTGGCGTTGTGCAAAGTGAAAGCGCTTGAGCCGCAATTGAAAGCCACGTGGGGAAAATCCCCACCGAGCGACCAGAGCCAGTGCAGTTTTCCTCACCGGCGCCCACCCCGACCAGCTTAAATGGTATGACGACATTGCCTCTTTTAAAGAGCTTTTGGGATCTTCAATTCAGACGCGTCTCACTCTCAACGACCATTTTCCGCAGATTACTTTGCTCTCTAACTTGCGGCTTCATTTTTGCATTTGCACACTCAATGCACCTTTTCCAATACTCTCTGATGTCTCTGCTTTCAATCTGAGCAACCATTTTCTGCAATTTTGTGTTGATGACAGCGACAGTTCGAGTGCTCAATTCACGACGCGTCAAAGTTGGGTCGACGGGCGAATTGTCGGGGCAGGGGGTACTTTGCGATTTTTTCTGAGGTGATTCGCAATGCCGGGGCTGGTGCCTGCAGCGCATGGACCAGATTTTGTGGTCTCGGGGCGTGCTGATTGGCCAGGATGGTGCCAACCAGCGCCTTGCTTCCAGTTCCAGTTTCATTCCAGTTCACAGTTCCGCGAACTACCTGGTAATGAAGGGAACGAACGCGACCGACCGACCGCTGACTGTCCACCTTCTTGCCTCCCGTCTGCCGCACCCCAGGCAGGTCACCACGCTCATTCACTCACCACCTCAACTCCAGTGACACTTTCACGCCAGTCCTAGTCTTTGCCCCTGCTTCTGGCCTCCCTCCCGTCCTGCCTTCCTTCTGCACAACCTACCTAGGTACAATTCACGGCATCTGACCGACTGCACTCGATATCTCCCGCCGAGGTGAAGCTATCCAGCTTCGCGACTTTCACCTATAACCTCAACGACTGGAGTTTGATTCAAATCCTCTCCTCTCGGGAAGTTATGCGCGCGCGCGAGAGGATTTGCACCACACTGCTGCCTCCCTTTACTACTACAACCTCTACGTAACATACTAGCTCGGCACCAAGACCGGCACCGCATTCCGACTTCGACTCCCCAGCGAGCAGTCCAGTCTAGTGCCGGGCGTGTGTTCGTGTGTGTGTGCGTGTCTGCTGCCGTGTGTGTGTGTGTATGCATATTGCATTACCCAAAGAAAAAAAAAAGCATCGTCGCATCAGTCGTCGCATTCTACCAAATCCTACTACCTGCCCAGTGCCTCTCCTAGATGCCCTTCGACTCTCTGTCTGGCTCTACCTCAATTGCGCCCTTGGATCGGTTTTGCTCTGTCCAAACCTCCAGGCAACTTCGACCTGAACTAAAGTGCTCCGTCGATGCAGCGGTACATCCCACCTCCTGCTAGTCGTCAACCTGACAGCAAGGTGAGAGCCGAGTGTTGACCCAATTTCACACCCCCACGGCATCTAGGTCCATACCAGACAGAACATAAATCTGTATGTGGCTCTTTTCTTTTCTGGTCCTTGCATCTTTCCATCCCGTCCCTTTGCTCCCACTTCCCATTGTTCCCCTTGACCTGTTGACGCATCCTGTTTTGCTCTGCACGGCACACACGGACCTAACACGACTTGTTCATGCAGGCTGCTAGATATTGAATAGCTGTTATCAATAAACATCGGATCGAAATAGCCAGTCGCAAGCTCAACAATTCACCAACCGCTAGCTTTTTGCCCCCATTCTCGCCATCGGACGGAATAGGCACCCCATCGGAATCCACCCTACTATTGTCCACCGCCCACCCCAGTCCTATTCAGAGCTATTCGTTGCAGCACTTATTGGACCACATTATATCTAGCCGTTTTGCCCCCACCAACAATCTGCTATGTCTAAGCGTAAAAAGGACTTTCTCACGGATTTCGACCCTAACAAATCCGATCCCGAAGACGAAAACTTTGACCCCATTGCCGAAAAGCAACGAACCCCGCGAAGTGCAAGGAAGCAAGCAAATACACGCCGCCCAAAGAACCGAGGCGCTGCTGGCGGCGCGCGCAGGCGGAACAGCCGATACAAAGGATCCGACATCGAAGACGACGAAGATATCAGCGACAGCGAACAAGACATCTCTTTCGGTGAAGAGGAAGACGAGGAAGAAGAAGAAGACTCGGACGCTCCTGTCAACGCTACGGGCAGGCGGATGCGCCAGGCTGCCGCACGACACCAATCGTACAGGGAAAGCAGTGAAGACGAAGACGGGATCCAGTCGTCTGACCAAGACAAAGACGTCGTCCAGGAGCCCGACGAAGAACATAGAGTGCCTTCGATAGAGTCTCCTGAACAGAGTCCCAGCAAAAAGAAGTCTCGCATCGTCGTGCTGAGTGTCAAGAAAGGCGCCAAGCCAAGCTCACAACGACCAAGACGTGCCGCTGCTGCCAAAGAACCAGCAACTATGGTTCCCCCGACCCGCCGCTCTACGAGAGCCCGCACGGAAGAGACGGACGAGCCATTGCTCGAGCTGTCCAACTCAGGAAGACATACCCGCGTCACCCGCGCATCAACAAGAAGTAAAAGCCCGGAAGCCATGACCCACGCCACCAGAGCTACCCGTGGTTCCAAGGGTGTTAAGAAACAACAACCTCCACCCATTCCCGAAGCCTCGCATGAGGAAGATGACGACGAATTCAAGGTCGAGACGGATATACCCAATGTTGACGATGTGGACGAGCTGGCCGGTCAGGCGAACATGGTCGATGCGCCCGCTGACCATCCGGACGAACACCAAGAGGGAGGAGATGAAGAGATGGTCGAGGAAGGAGCTGCTCAACAGGTTAGCGAAGAACAACCTGCACAGACCGAGAGCCAACCAGCAGCGGAAGACGCAGACGGTGACGACGAAGACGATCGTCCGATTACTAGGCGGACTCGTGGGGCTAGAGCCGTCACATCTACCACAGCTGCCTCGACCACGACCACTGTCACAGCAGTTGAACCAGAGGGCGAAGGACTCAGGAGCCGCCTCAGGCGTGGATCTCGCTTGAAGAAGAGGTCGCTCGCTGAACCTAGTAGTGACTTTGAGCCAGGCGAGGAGTCGGGCGATAACGAAGGCTACGCCTCGGAGGCTTCAGTTAAAAAGAGTGGACGTAAAGGTTCCAGTGCAGATGAGTCTGCCGCTACACCCGTTCGCGGACGTTCCACCCGTGCTCGCGCTGCCAAAAGGCCTCGCCGCAACCAAGATTCTGGCGATGAGGAAGTTGAGCTGGATAGGGAGGAGCTTGCCGAAGAACTCGAGGAGCTTCGCGAGAGCTCACGCTCGCGGCCACGAAGAGCTGCCACTCGCCGTCGCCGCTCACCTTCCATTCAGTACGAGCAGCCCGCAGGCAAGAGACGTCGCACTACCCAGCGTGTTGATTACACTATCCCGGCGATCGACTTGGCCGCTCTCGAGGCCGAGGAAGATGAAGAGCCTGTGGCAACGCCAGCAAGAGGCCGCAAGAGGAACGGAGGAAATGCAGGATGGGACCGTCCTTTGAACACCACCTATGGTCCTTTCGGTGGCGCTGGAATTGGCGCTCTGCTTGGAGGCCCTTGGGGCACCGGCGCTACGGGCGGCGTTGATTCCGACAGCAGCGACGACGAGATGGTGCAACGAACCGGTCCTGGCCAGAACCCTATTGGCATGACACCCACTTCTGCCGCTCCTGCGGTTGGCTTATTCAATCCTGCGGCTCAGACCCATAATGTGGACGGCCTGGGTGGTATTGGAGGCGCCACACCTAACGTCGGAAAGGTGAAGAATCTCAAGGCGTTTGCGGATGCGGATCCGCTTGGCGTCGATACGAGTGTTGACTTCAGCAAAGTCGGAGGCTTGCAAGGCCACATCGACCAACTCAAGGAGATGGTTCAGCTTCCCCTTTTGTATCCCGAACTTTTCACCAGATTTCATGTTACACCACCACGAGGTGTTCTTTTCCACGGTCCGCCCGGTACCGGTAAAACTCTCCTCGCCAGAGCCTTGGCCAACTCGGTCGGCTCCGGAGGCCGCAAGATCAGCTTCTACATGCGCAAAGGAGCTGACGCTCTCAGCAAGTGGGTTGGTGAGGCTGAGAAGCAGCTGCGGTTGCTCTTCGAGGAAGCTCGGAGGACGCAACCCAGTATCATCTTCTTCGATGAGATCGATGGTCTTGCCCCTGTGCGATCTAGCAAGCAGGAGCAGATCCATGCAAGCATTGTCTCTACCCTGCTGGCGTTGATGGATGGCATGGACGGTCGTGGACAAGTGATTGTCATCGGTGCCACTAACCGGCCTGACAACATCGACCCTGCTTTGCGTCGCCCCGGCCGTTTCGACCGAGAATTCTACTTCCCCCTTCCCGACATCGAAGGAAGGCGATCGATTCTCGAGATTCACACTAAGGACTGGGGTTTGTCGAACGAGTTCAAAGACCAGTTGGCCGAATTCACCAAGGGATATGGCGGTGCCGATCTCCGTGCCCTTTGCACCGAGGCGGCTCTGAATGCCATTCAGAGAACGTATCCCCAGATCTATACATCCAAGGAAAAGCTTGTGGTCAATCCTCAGAAGATCAACATTCAGGCGTCAGATTTCATGCACTCTATCAAGAAGATGGTGCCCTCGTCTGAGCGTTCGGCGTCATCCAGCGCCATGACCATCCCCAAAATGGTCAAGCCACTTCTGGAGAAGCAATTTGAGGCTCTCGTCGCGCAGTTGGATAAGATTCTGCCTCGATCAAAGAAGACCACCGCGCTGGAGGAGGCCATGTTTGAGCCGTATAAGGATTTCGATGGCGGGTTTGAGAGGGAGCAGATGAGTCAGGACTTCCAGCGGTCGCGTGTCTATCGCCCTCGCTTGCTCCTCTGTGGAGGGGCGGGCATGGGACACGGTTACCTGTCAAAGGCTGTTTTGCATTACTTGGAAGGTGTTCATGTTCAGGATTTTGGTCTGCCTGTTCTACTGAATGATTCGAGGGTAAGTTTTCAACCGTCCACACTTTGTGACATATTGACTGATGTGATGAAATCTAGCCCCCTGAACAAGTCATCGTGAGCCTCTTTACCGAGGTCAGACGTCACAAGCCCAGTGTAATCTTTATTCCCAATGTGGACGCTTGGTGGACGACCCTTGGCTATGCAACCCTGACGACATTCACGACGATGCTTCGACAGATATCGCCGACCGATCCTGTTCTTGTATTCGGCACAGCGGAGTCGATGCCTGATCTGCTCCCCCCCGAGATGTTAACCGAACTGTTCGGGTTTTCTAAGAAGAACCGTGCCGCGATCTGGCGACCGGACCGTGAACAACGTGTCGCCTTCTTTCTCCCTATCATCCAGAACCTGTGGAAGGCTCCCGAGGAATTTCCGGATCCCTCCAGCCGCAAGAAGCGGGTGCTTGAAATCTTGCCGGTTGCTCCGCCGCCGCCACCCAGGGTTCCTACCAAGGAGGAGATCAAAGCTCAGCGCCAGATTGATTTCCACCACTTGAACTTACTGAAGGCGAGACTGCAACCGATTATGGATCAGATTCAGCGCAGGTATCGCAAGTTCAGACAACCTGTCATTCCTCTCAACACGATCAGCTATCTCTTCCAGGAGTCTGATCCCAACTTTGTCCGTCCGGATGTGGGTGAACAGGAGCAGCGGCCTTTTGTCATTTCCAAGGACGATAAGGGTGTTGACGGCATCCTTGAAACCAAGACGGGCAAGTTTTACTACAACCTCGACTCTACTACAATTGAGGAGCGCTTGGCCAATGGCTATTATGCCCGCCCGATGGACTTTTACGAAGATATTAAGCGTTTATTCCTCGATGTCAAGACTATCGGTGATAAGGACTATCTCCCGAAGGCGAGCGAGATGGTTACAAATGTTGAAATTGATGTCTACGATATCAACCTTTCTTTCAAAGCACAAGGCATCAATTTTGAGGACATTTACCAAAGGCAGCTCGAAAGAACGAGGAAGGCCGAAGAGCGTCACCGCAAGAAGGCGGTTTTCCAGCCGATGGTCGACAAGATCCAGTCTGACCTTGCCGAGGCCCAAGACGATAGCGAGTCTCAAGGCCCTGTTGGTATTGGTTTTCCCATGAACAAGCCCGCCCACACGACAGCGGCCAGGTTTCAGGTCATCACGAGCCCCAAGTTGACCGGAAACCCGAACTCTTCTGGATCGCACCCGCTTACCAATGGCACATCGCACCCTTCCAACCAAGGCGAGACCGGGCAGACGGTGGAAGAAGAAAGCACTCTGCTCTTCTCTCAGGGAGTTGAAATCAGCTCGCCGCTTAGATATCGGCAAGCGCAACGACAGCTTCAACAGAACAGAGTCATCGCAGAGATAAATAGAGAAACCATCGGCACATTCTCGCAGACATCAGCACTTACATCTGTGCCTCCAGGAGTCTCCCAGGCCGCTATCCAGAATGATGCTTCGAGTACCAGGACTTCTGACCCAAGCTCAGGCCGTGGAGAGTGGAACACGCAACAGACGAATGGCGTGCAGAGCATCTCTCGGGGAACATCCCAGTTGCTTGAGAGCCAGGAGACGACTGTTAACCCTCCTGCTGCGGCGTTCCCTGTGGAAACCAACAGTCAGAGCCAAAGCCAGAGCAATTCTTCTAGTAGCGGCCCGTGGCCTCATTCACAGATGGCTGGCATTGCGCAGGGCATCCTGCTGCCGGCCGTGCCTGAGGAGGCTGAGGTCCACGATACTAACGAAGCTTCCGCCGGTGGTCTCCGTTCGTCATCCTCTAAGGACCAGCCGCAGCAGGGCAGCAGTAATGATGACAGTCAAAACAGCAAACCCAGTAATGATGACAGTCAAAACAGCAAACCCAGCAATGACACTCCTGATAGCCAGCGGAGTCTGTTAGAGGCCAGACGTCTTAGGGACCTTGCGATTGCGGACTGTATGGAGAGGGTTCTTCAAGGGCCCGTCCGCCCTGGCAGCACCGGCGGCAAGAAGACGGATAGCTCTCCGTACAGTAACAACAGCCCGGCCCTTGGCCGGAACAATGCCCTTCTGCCCTTCGGCCGTCGCGACACTTCGGTCTCATCTCAGCAGCAGCCTATCCTTAACGACGGTAAGGTCTGCGAGTTCTGGTCCACGCTCGTGGACCGCACGGCCGGCTGCAACATTGAGCAGATGGAGCAGATCCATAGAGAGCTGATGGATGCCATCTGGCAGTACCGCCACGAGTGGAATCGTATGCGTGTCCTCTCCACGCTCGCCGACGTCTTTGACGATACAGTTACCGACATTGAGCTCGTGCAGGGCATCTTGATTGATGCTCAGGGCAGAGAGCAGAGGAAGTATGAAAGGAAGGAGCTTGAGAAGAGAGAGGCCGAGGCCGCCAAGAGTTCGTCGTCGACTTCTGCTCAGTCGCGGGCCACGACTCAGACTCAAGCTGCTGTTGCCGCTGTCCCCGTCGACGCTGCCGCTTCCTCCACCGGTGTCGTTGCCGGTTCAGTTGCTGCTCCTGGTCCAGCTGCTGTTGCTGCTGCTCGAGGTGTTCCTACTCCTGCTCCCACTGTTGTTTCAGCTTCAGCCCCTAGCGCGGTCTCTGCCAACGTTGCTGTTGTTGCTGGAAATGGCTCGGAAAGCCAGGGTACGAGCGGTAGCGGTACTGGTAGCACCAATAACAGCCAGAAGAGCCACAGCAGCCAGAAGAGCAAGAGCAACAATAGTGGAAAGAGTAGTAGCCAGAAGACGCCTACTAGCAATAGTACGAGCCAGAAGCGCAACAAGGCGGCAGCGGAGGATGAGAGGTTGCCTTACATCTGGTTGAAGTAAGGGCTAGGGCTAACTGAGGACTTGACTAAAAGAGGACTCGCTTATGGGGAGTGTGTACTGCCTTTCGTACGGGGCGTTTGTGAGAGAGAATGAGAGAGAGAGAAGAATGTTTTGTGTGAGAGAGATGATACTTGTTATGAAGCATGGAAAAAAGAGAAGGCGGAGACAAAGCGATTATGTACCATGTTAGCATGAGCCTGTGGATGGAAAACTTTGAGAAAGAATCGGTTGGAGTGTAAAAGTAGACTGGACTGGATGGATTATTACGCTTTTCCCCCCCCCCTCTCATGTCTCTGCTGTTCTTTGTTTCTCTACCGTCAACCAAAACCCCTATCCGTTTGTTTGCTACTTTTTTATGTAGCTAGAAAGGGGGCCTTTTGGTTTTCTCTGGTTAGGTTCAGGTTAACCGTTCAGAAGCGGGTACTTTGCTTTGCAGGTTAGGTTAGCTTCATGTGTACAGGGCACTTCACTTTTGCTATAATATGCTCCTGCTACGGTATACCGTCGATAGTATTATATCACATTAAATTGGTGACTGGCCGTTGATACTGACAAAGTTTCGATCTTGTGATTTCCGGAGTGCTAGAATATAAAACGAAGCCTTGGATAATGTCTTACACCACATGTGCATACATAGATATCTCACTCCGCCGGTGATATCATCTGTGTTCATATAACGCAAGGGCAGCCCGGTCCGAAGCTCCATCTGACAGCCGAGTAACCGCGCAAACGGTTTCACATGTGCGAGTCATGGACAGTGAGACATTGAAGCACACACCTCACAGCCATCTATGTAGTGTAGTGTATATAGACATACATAGAACAGATAGGTAGAGCGGTGAAGAAAGCTGCTGCTGATTACGGACAACTTTGGCTTGGCATCTTGTCGTTTTTGTATTTGTGCATCATCCCGCTAGCTAGCTAGCTAGCTAGCTAGCGGCGCACCCAGGGCGGTAAGGCGGTACCATAGGGCGGTCCAATCCTGTCGCGTTGACAGCTTGGCGATGGTATAGATAGATAGATAGATAGATAGATAGAAAGAGAGACACGGAGAGATAAGTAAATACCTATGTTGGATGTGTTTCGTCCAATACTCAATGTCTCATAAGTAAGTGTGAAGAAGGTTGGCGGGTGGTGGTTGGTGCCTGAGTTGGCCAAGACGCTTCAGTTTCTGTTTAGTGTACTAGACATACTGCGTATACCTTGCCACCTAAGGTTCAAGGTCCGGCTCAGCTGCTTTTGGAGATCTCGCAGTACAATTCTCCCTAGTGTACCGTAGTGTATTTACGTTAGTAGGTAGGTACAGTCCATGACATATGTAACCGCCAACCCATCCCATCGGAGGTCTTCGGCCGCCGGGTGTCACTTTCTTTCTTTGTTTTTCTCGGGTTCGGGGAAATCGGGTGTGGTTCAGTTTTTGACGAACCGGCGAACCGGCGAACCGCCCGAACCGCCGCCCGGGCTATCAATCAAGTAGTTACATAGCTCCCCCGCCCCGCCCCGCAGGTTTCCATTACTAGCGGCATCTGCGGAGGAGGAGTTTCGAAATCTGATACACCTCGTACGGCCGGTTTGGCGGTACCTACCTTATGTACTTACTTTACATATATATGTTTGGGTTTTGTGCCTTCTGTCTGTCTATGTACATACGATCTGTCGGTAGAACGGTCTACAGTTAAATAGAGTGGTTAACTGCTGGTGACAGATCCCAGCTGCAAACTACCAATCTGGAGAATCTGTATGAGAGAGGAGATTCCATCCCACAGTGATTAATAAGGGGTTAGATACTATGTCGATACCTCTACATAGTGTACACCAGACAAAGTACCAAAGTACCTACCTACACACCCCACCAATGCCGACTGGCGACTGGCGACTGTATGAAAGTAAAGTCTTCTAGACCCCCCTGAGAAGGCCTCGAAAACCCGCACGCAGGACAACACATACTGCGAGGCTGCATATACACTACATATTGGGAGTTATGTATGTACATATGTACGGTTATGGGGGAGATGGGGGGTCTTGATGGGGTTTGATGGGCGAAACATCATGGGATCATTTTTTTTTTGATCATATGGGTCGATATGGGAATCGCCTTATTCTCCGCGGATCTAGGTTATGTAAATCTTGGGGAGCTTGGATGGATGGATGTCGCCATAGGTGTAGTGTAGGCGAACAGGAGGGCGTAGCAGGATGTCGCCAACTGGACTAGACGGTGGATAGATAGACAGTTTCGGTAGGGTAGAGTAGTGTAGTGTATATGGAGAATGGATGGGGAATGGGGAAGTGGAATGCATGATCGATTGATTGCCTTTACGCACTAGACTAGAATCCCGAGTCGAGGAGAGAGATGCAGGTCCGTGGTGGTGCCACTGGATAACATCCGCCGTCTCCGTCTGTCTCCGTAATTTTCTCGGGATTGCCGGCAGCTGCTGGCGGAGAAGTTCGCATATGTTACCGCTGGTTTGAGAGATGATCACCTTTTTAAAAGTCTACACGTGTAATGGTAGACAGCTCCAACGGGCGGTGTTCTCCAGCATTAGCTTTGGTCACCTGAAAGTGGCTCTTTCTTGGCTATGCATCTCCATCGGCCATCTGAAAGTGTGGACATGTGGGGAGAGAGGACTACACTACCTCTATGTATGATACGGACTCTTGTCGTATTCAGATTATTGCAAGTTCTTCGACGTCTGGACTCGAACTTGGGACCCTTCTTTCCGGAGATGAGTTGTACGGGTGTTCCTGGTGAGGTGTGTACTAACCTAATGTACGAGGAAAGGGAGGAAGGGTACCGTTACTTATGTACCGCTACCGTCTGACCAAGAGGTTGCCGCACGCACCGTCCGGCTCCGCCGTCGCGGCTCTTTCAGGCTTCAGTTTTCACCTGACAATGATGGTTCCCGCCAGTCTCTTATTTGCCAGTCATTGTTGTTGCTGTCTTCGAGTCGAGGACTACTCGGTCACTGCGACCGGTTATCACAAGACATATTACATACAGCTACTTGCATCTATCCAAGGGAAAGGCCTTCTCGATGATGGAACAATCGGAGAGAAGTGCCTCCCCTGCTTTTCTCAAACACGGCCGACTTTGCACGGTGCAGGAACATGGCGCGACGGGCCCTGAAAACTAAAGCCGATGGGGAAACCAAGCACTTTCCAAGCAAGGAAGCACTCACTCAATGTACCGTAGGCGCTCCACTTAGGAGCCAGCGCCCGACCCGCCGCGGCCAGGGCAGGCCACTGGCTGGACCTGCGCTGTTCCGCCATCCACCTTGCACTGCACCGGACATCCACCATCCACGCTGCTTCCCCTTATGCAGGCCGCACCAACCTGAAGTAATCCCAAGGCGCGGCCCCTTGAACACACATCGTCCTCCTTGACTTACTTTCGACCAAATCCATCATTGCTTCTCCCTTGTGAAGCCACCAAAGTTACTTGTACACCACATCACTCCCAGTTCATTCCTCTGTCAAACGGTCAACGACAACCCGGTTCCCTCGAGATACCTAGAAGTGGTCCAGGCGACCCCCCCCCCTTTCTCCCGCCAATCTACCCAACTAAAGCGACCCAAGCCATCATCTCATCCGACCGTCTCCTGTCGTCGTCGTCCCGGTCACAGACACCTTAGCGGCCAGCCCACTCTCCACTATCAAACACCCGCTTTTCTTTCGTCCGACCTCCCGCGAGCGCAACCCACGCGACTCCATATCACGATCGGTATCTGATCTCGATTTCTGTTTGCCTTGGTCTTACGGACACCCGTTAGGCACACCGACGCACTGCCTGTTCCGTGTGTCGACGAGTCAAAAAAAGGGGGGCTGCGGCAAACCGATTCGTGATTCACACAAACCACATCGCCGCCTAGTGTATCCATCTTTCGTTACCCTCGGTAAACCATCGACCTCATCAACCTTCGCAACTGCCGCCGAATCTGGACCATCAACAGCCAAATAGTCGGGGAGTTCGACTCTCGAAAATCCTGGCTACCACACGGTACCGCTTGTAAGCGCCAGTGCATTTGTTGGCTGGGCATCACGACTTGCGCCTCGACAGCGCAAGGAATCATCGGTCACTTCGACACATAGCTTGGGACACCCAATCATCGCCATCATGTCGCCGTACGGAAAGCATCAGAGTATCTCTGAAAGGAGAGGCAGTGTCCTCGGGGAAGAGTTGTCGCTCAACACACACAGCGCCAAACTGGCGCAACAACATCGCCCACAGCCACCATTAACACCATTAGGCATGAACCCTTCTGCCGACTTCAATCAACAACTCTCAGCAGGTTCACCGCCACCACCGCCGACCCCAGCAGCATCTCCCGGTCCATCACAAACTCAGCCGGACTGGAGTAACGCGGAAGAGGATGAAAGCATAGTTTTGTCCATAATGCGGGAGAATTTCCTCAAGGCAACCACCCCGGAGAAAAAGCGAATACTCGAAGACATTGTGAACATGTGCACTAGCCAACAGCTCAGCTTTATTCTCCAGCTTGTCAGCCCGCGCTTGAAGAAGGACCCCATGATGAGCCTGCCCGATGAGTTGTGTTTACGAGTAAGTGCTGCGTCTGTTGTTAATATCTCGGGTGTATGACCTGGTTGTTAACCCCCTATATAGGTTCTGTCGTTTATCGACGACCCCAAAGACTTGGCAAGAGCTTCTCAAGTGTCTCGCAGGTGGCGGGACCTGGTGAGCGATGATATGACATGGAAGAACCTCTGTCTGAAGCACGACTATCAGCGTAGGCTATCTGAGGTGCAGACTTCGATGCAGTATTCCAACTTTCTACGGCCAGACCCTACGAGCAGCTTTTACCAGCCCTATAGCGCTCCCGCGGCCTCAGTCACTTTTGACGACGCATCGAGCCTGAGGAGGCCCAGGTCATACAAGTCGCACTTCAAACAACGATACCTTGTGGACGCCGCCTGGCGGACAGGGGGACGCAACATTACGAAAAACATCACTCAGGAAGGCGGTGTAGTCACTAGCCTCCACCTTACCAAGAAGTACATCATTGTCGCTCTCGACAACACCAAGATACATGTGTTCGACACGGAAGGAAACGAACTACGAACACTCAGGGGCCACATGATGGGCGTCTGGGCTATGGTTCCTTGGGACGACGTTTTGGTCAGTGGTGGCTGTGATAGAGATGTTCGTGTGTGGGATCTGACGACGGGGTATGTTACACCATTTTTTCTTCTTCTTTGTTCTTTTTCCCAACCAGTATCAGGACCCCCTGCTGACACATGTGCCCAGTGTCTGTATGCATACACTCCGTGGACATACCTCCACCGTCAGATGCCTCAAGATGTCGGATGCAAACACTGCTATTTCCGGATCTAGGGATACGACCCTCCGAGTCTGGGATATCAAGAACGGAGTGTGCCGAAACGTGCTTGTCGGTCACCAGGCTAGTGTAAGGTGTTTGGAAATCCATGGCGACATTGTTGTCTCGGGGAGTTACGACACAACCGCCAAGGTTTGGAGTATCTCGGAGGGCCGCTGCCTACATACACTTCAAGGTCACTACAGCCAAATTTACGCAATCGCCTTTGATGGCTACCGTGTGGCAACCGGAAGTTTGGATACCAGCGTGAGGATCTGGAACGCCGCTACTGGGTAAGTTTACAAACCGCATACATACTGGCAATCTTTTGCTATCTATCCACATGCTCTTGTGCTGACATCGAGTCTAGTGAGTGCCAAGCGGTTCTACAAGGTCATACGTCTTTGGTCGGACAACTGCAAATGCGCGGTGGCACCCTCGTCACCGGTGGTAGTGACGGCTCAGTCAGAGTCTGGTCGCTGGAAAGGTTCTGCCCTATCCATCGCCTTGCGGCTCACGATAACAGTGTTACAAGCTTGCAGTTTGACGACACGCGGATTGTCAGTGGTGGCAGTGATGGACGGGTTAAGGTCTGGGATCTCAAGACTGGCCAGCTTGTCCGCGAGCTTATCTCTCAGGGAGAGGCTGTTTGGCGCGTTGCCTTTGAGGCCGAGAAGTGCGTTGCGATGGCACTGAGGAACAGCAGGACGGTTATGGAGGTGAGAATTTCCGGTATCCCGGTGCGATCTGTTGTTTGGCTGCTAACCGATGATGATGTCTATTAGGTTTGGTCCTTCTCTCCACCCGAAGATGTTCTCCTCGACCGACACGAGCGACAACCATTTATGCTTACGCCACGACCGACCATTGAGGGCCCCGTTCCCGAAAGGCCGTCAAGTGCGATGGACGATAGCCTGATAGGAAATGGAATGCAGGACGTGGATATGCCCGATGCCGGCCCTGCCACAGCTCCTCTTCGACCAAATGCATCATTCTTTCAAGCATCGAGGGGAGCCTAGACTTACAGAGGGGGCTCCACCAACCTCAGGCCACAGGAAACTATCGGCAATTATGGTTGACGGATATTACAAGGGCCCTCTCTTAACAAGACATCCGTAACGTGTTGCCCAACGACTTTCTCGATGGGAAGAAGCCAAATCGGACTTTTAAGGCAATACTCGACCACCAGGAAATTTTCACTCACATAACAACACATCGCCTTCCTTTAATATACCCCACGATACAATTCAGCGCATTGGTTGGCGAAAGTCGGATGAATCAAAGACCAGCGGAGAGCGCACCTAGCAATTTCAAATAGCGCGCGGCGCCAGTACAGCTGGCTGAAGTTGCAGACGTGACGGCAATACCCATTATCACTAAGCGCGGAAACTTTGCAGGGAGCATTGCTATGGCGTTGACACACACACACACACACCCACACCCACACACACATGAAGGTTTTCAAAGCACACCTACACGCATTCGGACAGGCAGACAACGGACCAGCATTCATGGTTTTTTCTTTTATTTTTTGCGACTTCTCTCTTGTTCTTTATATCTATATCAGAAACGCACGCAGCTGGACAGACAGAAGGACAGACAGACGGGACAGAGGAGAAAGCCCATCAAGAAGCGGATGAGCAACTCGGCATTGGATGTGGTAACGGTACAAATACACTTTGTTCAGGAACTCTACACTACTATATTGCGAGACACTGTACTACACTACCGCAACCGGGACTATGAAAGACATCGATACACATGCCATTGGTCAACAATGCCTTATATGTCTTATACCTGTTTTGCATTTGTTCACTCCCTCAACGTATGCATATCGTATGTTTTATCCCAAGATAGGATATTAAACCCACTTGTCTATAAATACCCGGGGGAAGAGGACGGGAGACTTGTAGCGATAGGGTAATGACAGATATACTCGATGGTTTGTTTTATGCTGGGCTTTATGCTTTCGTGGTTATGTTGTCTGTCATCAGGACGGTTGTGATACTGTTTTTTGTTGATAATGTTCATCATGAAGATATCGCTGAATTGAATTAAAAGTGTCCTCCTTTGAACCCTTGGCGTGTGGTCACATATTCCTACGGAGCCTGAGGACTAAAAGTGACGACAAGAAGGCCATTCGCAGTTGGAGTCCACTACGAACGTCCACGATACGGATCTATTTGTATTGTGGTATGTACGTTGAATCCTTCGAAGCCATGCCCGGTCAGATATTGATTATGGTTACCTGCATGCCACATCCATCGTCTAAACTGGAGTGGTAAGAAAACTGATAAGCAATTATTCCCGATCGAGGTTAGGTAGAGTTCGTGAGGCAAGTGGAAAGCGGCGGCTGTTGGGTGGGGCATTCCGCAATGTCAAACTCCATTTTTGATGGGGTTCGTGATGGAGTCGATGGGATGGCGGCATACTGAATGCCGCCCGTTGTGGTAACTGGTCATAGTGGTGACGGTGGTGGTGTCGTTGGAAGCGAACAAGGAGAAGGACGAAATAAACAAGAGTCTTTTCATTCAGTTCACCTCGTCCGTGACGAAATCATTGAGACCCTTGGCTGTTGTACTCGTGGGCGGCAAACGAGGTCCTATATAATTTGTCATGGAGGTAAGCTCGAATGGAGATCTCCAACAAACTTTCCTTCCCCCACCTGATCCATGCAATGCCAAACTCAGTTAGCGCGTGCTACCTAAGCTTCTGCCTCTGCTCAACACTCGTTCGCCTCGCCCCTCTGACTGTGGACTTTTTTTTGACGTTCCTTGCCCCTTCCCCTCCATTCTCCTCCAAAGCTCATCGACCGCGACGGGGAGATCCATAATAATTTTTTCTGACAGCCCTGAGGTGACAGCGTCAAAACGAGCTCCGGAGAACGGCCGGCATACCGGTACAGGTACCGTTTGTGGGAGTTTTCTATCGCGTTAGTACCTGCCCGCCTTGTCAAGCTTTTCTGGTAGCAGTGGACAGAGAGCTTCTGTAAAGTAAGCAGTGACAGTACAGCTGGGGGATCTCCATGCCAGAAAAAAAATCCCCCGGGCCACAGCGTAACACACATATCCGACGATACCCTATCCGTGCTGGTGCCCTGTCTGTGAGCGCCGCCCGGCGTATCTCCAATTGAAGAGTTCGTTCCCTGACGTGCTGCGCCTGCTAGGTGCTGCACACCTGCCCTGGCTGCCCGCACCAGTCCTGCCGTACCGGGCGCCCTGGCTCGCCTACCCCATCGGAGCCCATCAATTCGCGACCCTTCCACACTCCCGTCCCAAGGATTTTCAGTTTGCCAGTTTGCTTTTGCTCGTCGACTCGTCCTTCATTCTCGTCCTCTCTCCGCTTCCACTCCCGTCGTCATTCACCCCCCAAACTCTTTCAATCTCTCAGCTGCCATCGTATTTCCCAGCGAGAAGAGAGAGACAGATAATCCAGAATGTTTTCTCGCGCAGCCCGGTTATCGACGAGGGTAGCGGCGCCCGTCCGCGCCCGCGTTGCTGCTCCCCGTGTCGTTATTCCCTCGATCGCCGCTAGGAGGTCCGTCACCACCAATGCTGCTTCGGCCCAGCTCGAGAAGCCCCTCCCAGAGGTACGTTTGTTTACTGTTGATGTCGGGATGTCGTTCGAAGTGGGTTTCGATGGTGGTATTGTGTGTGTTGGAGAAACAAAAGACTGGAGGGAAGGAGAGACTCCCTAGTCATGTCCCCTCCCCGAGTCCCCCAAGCAACGCTCGCGAGTCAAGCAAGTCATGTCCCATGCGAGTCTGTCTACCTTACCGCTTGCTGCCGGACCCGCCGGACCCGCCTTCATTCTCTTTGACGTCAAGTCAATAGAAAACACCAGATGAACACCGTTTGTTTTGGTGGTTTCGAAACATATCATGTCGTCGCCGTCGTTGTTGTCGTTGGGGGTTGGGTTGTGCAGATTTTTGCGCGCAATCCAAAGACTGTTACTTGTCGCTACTACGACTACTCCTGGGAACATCGATAAGCTTACCATGCAATTTTGCTTCAATCTAGTCGGAGACCGAGCCCTTCCAGGTCACCCTCAGCGATGAGAGCTTCGAGACCTACGAGCTCGACCCCCCTCCCTACACCCTCAATGTCACCAAGAAGGAGCTGAAGCAGATGTACTACGACATGGTCGTCGTCAGGTATGCAAAGACTACAATCCTACCTCGTCACCACCGGGGCTCTGAGCTTCCCCCCCTCCTATCTCTGCCGATCTCGGCCTGGAGGATCAACATGGCTTCACAGCACAGCATATAGCTAACACATTGCTCTCTCTGCATATAGACAAATGGAGATGGCCGCCGACAGACTGTACAAGGAGAAGAAGATTCGTGGTTTCTGCCATTTGTCCGTTGGTCAGGAGGCTGTCGCCGTCGGTATCGAGCATGCGATTGAGAGAGCTGACGACGTCATCACCTCGTACCGTTGCCACGGCTTCGCCTACATGCGCGGCGGTACCGTTCGCTCCATCATTGGCGAGCTTCTCGGTCGCCGTGGCGGTATTGCCTACGGCAAGGGTGGTTCCATGCACATGTTCACCAAGGGCTTCTACGGCGGTAACGGTATCGTCGGTGCTCAGGTCGCCGTCGGTGCTGGTCTTGCTTTCGCCCACAAGTACACTGGCCGCAAGAACGCTTCCATCATCCTCTACGGTAAGCCTTTTCTTGGTGGGAACAAGGTTGGGAGTTCGGAAGGCTAATACATTGTTATAGGTGATGGTGCCAGCAACCAGGGTCAGGTCTTTGAGTCTTTCAACATGGCCAAGCTCTGGAACCTCCCTGCCCTTTTCGGCTGCGAGAGTAAGTAGCCCAGGTTTCATGGTCTCAGATACTCTCACTGACATGTGTGATCGTGCAGACAACAAGTATGGTATGGGTACCTCTGCCGCCCGCTCGTCGGCCTTGACCGACTACTACAAGCGTGGCCAGTACATCCCCGGTCTCAAGGTCAACGGCATGGACGTCCTCGCCGTCAAGGCCGCCGTCGCGTACGGTAAGCAGTGGACCAACAACGACAACGGCCCTCTCGTGCTCGAGTACGTCACCTACCGCTATGGTGGCCACTCCATGTCCGACCCCGGCACCACCTACCGTACCCGTGAGGAGATTCAGCGCATGCGCTCCACCAACGACCCCATTGCCGGCCTCAAGCAGCACATTCTCGAGTGGGGTGTTGCCTCGGAGGAGGAGCTCAAGAACCTCGACAAGGAGGCTCGCGCCTACGTCAACGAGGAGGTTGCCGCTGCCGAGGCGATGCCTCCTCCGGAGGCCAACCAGCAGATTCTGTTTGAGGACATCTACGTCAAGGGTACCGAGCCCGACTTTATCCGTGGCCGTACCCCCGATGAGCTTTTCTACTTCAAGCACTAAAAAAAGTTAAAAATTGAGTAGAGAGGCAGAAGTAATGACAAACTAGATGGGTTTTTTCAAGTTACAACCAAGAAACTTGTCTTCTTCTCTGATGCATATCACGAAAACAAAAATGGTGCTGGCGTCTTTATCTACGCCGGTCATCATAGACGGTTGTTACTTCTTTTTTCCATTTTCCTTGTATAATAAACATTTCTGCGTAGCGCAAAACAGTCACCAACACAACCACACACACACATATATATATATATCTAGACAGGTTTAAGGGGAAAGGGATGGGGAAAGGGAAGGCGGGTTATGAAATTGATAAGCTTTCAAGATAGCGGTCTTGTTATGATGCATCAGGTGAATGACCTTGTGTGAGATCAGGTCCGATATCGTATCGCAGCCTGCCCCTCCCTGCCCAGCCTCGAATTGCCAGCCCTGTCGTATCAAATCGGGTTCTCAGCCCAACATTTTTGAGCTGTTGGAGATTTGGAGATCAAATTGATGGGCGGTGCTTGGCGCTTACGTTGCGACGGTAGGTACCCCAAATTTCGCCCGCCCAGCAAGGGGTCCCTGACTGCTTGTCACCCGTGCGCAGAATATGGACTGTTGCTTTAGTGTACAAGCACAGAGCCTTGAGCATATACTACTAGGTTTTGTAGGGAAATGCAGCTCATGTGACCGTGCCACTTTACGCGACGGTTGCCTGGACTTTTTGTTAGCGGGAAAGGAGCAGGGATCGCGTTAAGGAACCACAGAAAGGCGCGTCACGTCATAAAAGGTTTAGCGCGGCGGTAGTAGGAGGGACGACACTCAGTACTACTACAAGTACACGACGACGGCAGCAGGGAACTACCTAAGGGAAAGCGCGCCGACTGCGACACAACAGGCAGAAACAGGCAGCAGCAGCAGGCCTATTTCCCAATTGGTACAATTCCACGGTAAATATTGTATAACCAGGTTTACCATATTGGCAGGCTATTTGTTGGTATAAAAGGACAACAACGATCCGTCGTGGGAGGAAAGAAAGAAAAGTTCGACAATCCTGGCGCCCAGACAATTTCTCCCACTGCTTGTTAGAAGCAAGGGAGCAGCTTCTGCGGTACCGACTTCGACTGCGACGAATCTTGCGAATGGGTTGGCGACGAACAAAACTCGGGCGAGAATCGCAAAGACAAAGACAAATCAATTCTCCTCTCAGCTTGTCCTCTTCGAATCACTTGGTCGACTAAGTCTCAACTCGAACTCGACAACGTCACAGGGCGGAGCGAACTTGGCAATTGGACTTGCTGGGCTTACACGACTAGGAGGAGGACGAAGAAATTACGCTAGTTACGCTATACACAACATCACGAACAACCCCAGAGATACCGGCACGATGCCTCCCAAGCAGCAACAAACGTTGGGGTACGTCAAGGACAAAAACCCGAGGGGAGGGAGGCAGACTACGTTGGGGTTAGTTGAGAGTGTAACGGATCGATCGATCGCAAAACGTTTTTGGAAACCATTTTCGTTTTTTGGAGACAAATTTCAGAAACAGTTTTTTTGAAAGACGGTTTTGGAACCCAATTCTGGAGAGACATTGTTCGATTTCCGGTTACACATTACTACTACCATTTCTGGAGTCTAGTCTATTCCTTTCCTTTCCCTTCCCTTCCCCTACTGAAATCCCAGAAGAAGAAGAACAACAAGAAGATGCTAACGAGATGACAAAACCCATTGCAGGAAATTCTTCGGCAAGGCAGACGCCCCGGCAGGCGGGAAACAGCAGACAAAATTGTCTTTTGGCACGAAGGCGACGTCGACATCATCAAAGAAGGAAGAACCCAGAAAGGACGAGATTGGCGGCGAAGATGGGGGACACGAAGAGGTAGAGAAGAAGGTGGAGGAGATGAAGATCAAGGATAAGAGTCCTGCCAAGACGGGGAGGGGGAGGGGAAGGCCGGCTAAGGGGAAGGAAGTTGCTAAGGAGGTAGCTAAGGAGGAAAGCAAGGCGGATGTGGCTAAGGAGAAAAGCAGCGCAGAGGAGGACGAGGATGTGATGGAGGTCGTGGAGGAGGTGAAGGAGGAGACAGGTGAGTTACAACCTTGAAGATGATGTTGGTGGCATGGTGATTAACGACTGGGACTCGAAGCAGGCAACAAGAAGAAAAGGTCACGGTCACCGACGACCAAAAGCCCCAAGTCGAAAAAGGCCAAGACCGAGGAGGACTCAGACGATGTTATTGCGCCTGCCAGCAAGCGGTCGAGGAGAAGTCGTAAGGTGGTTGAAGACGACGAGGACGAAGTCATGGAGGATGTTCCCGCGTCTTCTGCGCCGGTGAAGGAGAAGAGCAAGAAAGCAGCCTCACCCAAGCCGGCACTAAAAAAGAAGAGTTCCTCTCCCGCACCGGTAGAGAAGGCAAATGATGAGGAGGTATCCTCAGCATCCGCATCCGAAATCGAAGCCGAAGAGGAAGAGGAAGACGAGGACGAAAAGACCGAAGCAGTTGCCAAAGAGGCTCGCAAGGTCATCCAGACCACACTCGCAACCAAGGTCAAGGACCCCTACCCAGACTGGAAGGCCGGCGAGCCTGTTCCTTATGCTGCCCTCTGCACGACGTTTTCGCTCATTGAGCAGACGCGGAAGAGACTACTCATCATGGAGTACTGCTCTCTTTTCCTGCGCCAAGTCCTCCGTCTTACGCCCGACGATCTGCTGCCTACCGTTTTGCTCATGATCAATAAGCTTGCGCCGGATTATGCAGGTATCGAGCTGGGCATTGGCGAGTCGCTCATCATGAAGGCTATCGGCGAGACTACGGGCCGCAGCATCGCTGTTGTCAAGAACGATCAGAAGGAGATTGGAGATCTGGGGCTGGTGGCTGTCAAGTCGAGGTCGAAGCAGCCGACTATGTTCAAGCCCAAGCCGCTGACCATTCGCGGTGTGCATAAGGGTTTGATGGATATCGCTACGACGATGACGGGCACGGGTGCTCAGCAGAAGAAGGTGGATGGTATCAAGAAGCTTTTGTCGGCTGCGGATGCGAATTCCACTGGCAAGGTGGACATCACCAAGGAGAAGGGCGGGCCGAGCGAGGCCAAGTTCATCGTCCGGTTCCTGGAGGGTAAGTTGCGGTTGGGACTAGCAGAGAAGTCCGTCATTGTCTCCCTGGCGCAAGCCATGATTGCACATGAGTTCGCGCAAAAGGGGAAAATCCCCAGCGAATCCGACTTTAGCAAAGCCGAGTCGATCCTCAAGACCGTCTACAGCGAGCTGCCCAGCTACGACGTCATCATCCCCGCCATGCTCCAGCATGGCATCATGAACCTCCGCGAGCACTGCAAGCTTCGCCCGGGCGTGCCGCTCAAGCCCATGCTGGCTAACCCGACCAAGGCCATCACCGAGGTGCTCGATCGCTTCGAGGGCCAGACGTTCACGTGCGAGTACAAGTACGACGGCGAGAGAGCGCAGATCCATTACGTGGCCAAGGACGCGCCCAAGAGCGAAGGCGACCTCAGCCAGGTCGCTAGCAAGGACACTGGGAAAGGTGTTGCGGCTATTTTTTCACGCAACTCGGAGGATTTGTCACAGAAGTACCCGGATGTGCTCGCGAAGCTGCCGACCTGGGTCAAAGAAGGCACCAAGAGTTTTGTGCTGGACTGCGAGTCCGTGGCGTGGGACACGGTCGACCACAAGTTGTTGCCGTTCCAGCAGCTGATGACGCGGAAGAAGAAGGATGTCAAGCTGGAGGATGTCAAAGTCAAAGTGTGCGTGTTTGCGTTTGACTTGTTGTATCTGAACGGCCAGGCGGTGGTGGAGAAAAGCCTGAGGGAACGGAGGGAGTTATTGAGGGAGGCGTTCAAGCCTGTGGAGGGCGAGTTTGCGTTTGCGACCAGCATGGATGGCCAGGAGCTGGATGAGATTCAGACTTTTCTGGATGAGTCCGTGAAGGCGGGTTGTGAAGGGTTGATGGTTAAGATGTTGGATGGCGCGGAGAGTGGGTACGAGCCATCTAAAAGGAGTCGGAACTGGTTGAAGGTTTGTTTTCCCCCTTATTCTCTGGAGGCTATATGGAACGATGACTGACGCGTCAAAAACAGATCAAAAAAGACTACCTAGCCGGCATAGGCGACTCGCTCGACCTCGTCGTTCTTGGCGCCTACCACGGCAAAGGCAAGCGCACCTCCGTCTTCGGCGCCTTCCTTTTAGCCTGCTACAATCCCAGTACCGACACCTACGAAACAGTCTGTAACATCGGCACCGGCTTCTCCGATGAAGTTCTACAGGAACTCCACTCTTCCTTATCGCCCATCATCATCGACCGGCCCAAGCCCTTTTACGCGCACTCCTCAGGTGGGCAGCACCAGCCGGATGTCTGGTTCGAACCGAAATACGTGTGGGAGGTCAAGACGGCCGATCTGACGCTTAGCCCGAGGTATAAGGCGGGCATGAAGGAAGGGGTGGACCCGAGTGGTGAGAAGGGCATTTCTCTCAGGTTTCCGAGGTTCATCAAAGTCAGAGATGATAAGAAGCCGGATGAGGCGACGACGAGTAGAATGGTGGCTGAGATGTATAGGAAGCAGGAGAGCGTGGGGAAGAATAAGGGACCGGCTGTTGATGATAATTTTGAGTATTAGTTGGGGAAGGGGCTGGACTGGACTGGACTGGACTAGGGTTGGGCGGATGGACTTGAGAGTGGCTATGCCGTGGAGTGTGGAATGTCGTGTTCATACCATACCGGGAAGGGAGGAGTG